TTGTTTCTTTCCTTTTACTGTATGAAGTCTTTCTGACAATATTTTTTCCTAAAGTGGATTGCTCTCTCATATGCCATGACGTCGCTTGCAGAAGTATATCCCTGCTGTGAAGGAAAGATGGTTGGTAGTAAAAACAAACTTTAAACCACATGTCGAGACATTAACTATGAAAACTGAAGAATTTTACCAGACATCAAAGAGTGTGATAACTCCTTATGCAATTAAATCTAAAGAAGCTATTGGGCCGTACTATCTGGTATGTAGTCCATACTGTCTTCATTTTTTCCCCTAAATGCAAATGTCTACTATTCACCGCAAATTCTCGTTTTTCACGTTTTGTTGACAGGAAGTTAAGAAATTCAGCAAGCCATATATTGATCAGGTTGCTACTGCTACGAAACCTCATGTCGAGAAGGTTAGGGTGGTCTTGAAGCCGTATACAAAGAAATTAGTTCACGCATACGGAAAATTTCTAAAATCCGCGGCTGTATATCATCATAAGGTACACTTTCATGCATTCTTCCCCACTTCTTTAAGAATTGTAGAGGATATGCATTTATGGACTGTGTTGATGTGCTGGCTTGTGTACTTCGAACTGCCTGCTATACTATCGAGTTTATATACTAATCTAAACATTTGAAAGAAAGAATAAATGGGTTCCGGTTCAGTAGTTCAGTCTTAGAAATCTTCTCTTGCTTGAGTGTTGAAAGTCTTGCTTTTCTTTTCCCTATTCCAAGTCCGCCAGTCTCTTGTTTGGATATCCAGCCCTAGTCCTTCCTCTCCTGTGTTTACTTTATTTATGGATTATCATTATTATTATTTTGGTTGGTGAGGAAATATAGAACGGATCTGATATGGAATAAAAGGTTTGCCCATTAACCCCATATATGTACCTTTCCTTCCATTCTATCACCTAGACTAACTGTTAGCTTCATTATATTATTCATTTCTTTTCTTCGACATTCCTTATTTACTCTCTCAAACAAGATGGCTGTATGGGGAAACAATATGGTAATTGGCTCCAATTTTGAACTCATGCAATTGCAATTGTCTGGTCATGTTACTTAGAAGGTATATTTACTGTTGATCATCTGAAGGTGCTAAAATGTGAGAAGGGTGATTGTCGAATTATCATCAGTTTTTGAATTGCTCAAAATGTTCGGCTGGAAATGTAAAATGTCCCCCCTAATAATAGACTGGTGATTGTTATTTATTCAAGTCAAACTACGCAATACGTGTCGTGTGTGTGTATTATATATATACATATATATTCTCTCATAACCATATTTATCTTTTTCTTGAGATGAAATAACTATTGTGTCTAAGTAAGCCATTTTTTGTTTCTTAAGGTTCAAGGTGTTGTTAAAGAGAACCTAAATAAACACGAATTGACCAGGCCACTCGCAACTAGAGAATTGGAATGGTTTGCGGTATGCATTTTACGTTACTCGACATGATTTTTCCCCCCTTTTTCTTTTTCTTCCATACCCTTTCATCTTTCTAACGTTGAAGTCCACTTAAAATGCTGCAGGCTTCTGCTTTGTTGGCTCTTCCTATTATTGTGCTGTTTAATATGTGCTCTGCCATTTTCTGGTCAGTATCATACATACAGTTCTATGTCGATACAACTGCAACTACTTTTCTTAGTTCTTCCATTGATCTTATGAAATCTCTCCCTCTCTCTCTGTATATATTGAAAAATAGTTCTTTCTCATATATGGATATAATGTATAATTAAAAAACAGTTCTTTCTTATGTACGAATATAATACTCAAGTTTCCTCCTCACTTGCAGGAAAAAAACAAAGAAACCTACTCGAAACACTGCCCACCATGCTCGTCGTAAGGGTAAAAGGGGGCATCCCGACAAGTAGAATGGCAGTATCGTGTTATTTGTCAAGCTCTAGTGGGATCTATTTGAGGTTCGATTCGATCATTCCTAAATCTAAAAGTAATATTCTATGTATAGCATAATCGTCGTCATCTGAATCTGTTTGTTTGCGTTCAATCGTTTGCCGATGCAGTTCACACGGGGGCTTTCGTGGTTATTGAATGTCTTCTTGGCCATAAACTAATAATTAAGTTTTGTTTTCCTTTAAGATGTCCTGCAGAATATTTTTTGATCTTTTGTGCTAGCATTTTAGACCCCTTGTTCTGTTATTCCTGTGTAGTTATCAGGAGATGGTCAGAGCCGATAGCCTATTCAAGTAAGTTAATGTAAAAATAGGACTTCGCTTAATTTTATTGGAGTCGTTTGCATTTTTCTACCCAACTACCAACTCTTAGATTAAACACATGTAACATTATTTCTCTATAAGAGAACTTATCTTGATTTCCATTTGGGTTTATGTCTTTGATCTATAATGTTATTGCGCTTTCTTCGATTTTTTCCTTCCCGTTGCTAATAGACGTATTTGCAAAATTGTTGTTTAACTGTCCATCTAAGCTTAGTAGAAGCGGTGCACAAACTCAACTGATTAAGGTATTTATCATCGAACAAAAGGTGAACTTTACAGTTTTAACCAAAAATTTCACGTTTTTGCATCGAACTTGAGGAACTGATCAATATTTCATATTGCCTTCTGAAAATCTCTTTAGCACTGATCAATCCTCACAGTTCACAGCCCAAGAGCCGTACGATGGCTGGAAAAGATTTAATCGATCCATTAGTTTGAAGGCTATTTGGTCTCCAATAGTGGCTATGGTTGATGGTCAAAGATGGCTACCGTTTATCCAATTCAAAGATTCTTTTCTGAAAATTTGGTAATTCGTTTTGGCTTTCTCTTGACTCTCTTAATAGTCCAATGGCTATGCCGACATCTCCTAACTCCCTCAATCCTAGAATAAAACGACATTAAATTATTTGTTAGATTATTTTGCTAAAATATTTAAATTTTAAATTAACCTCAAGCATATGATGTTTACCGGATCCAATTTTTGTTCTATTTTAGTTTATATACTTTCAACAAATAGTTATTGATATCAATTTATGATTTATCACTAATATATTTACACGAATGTAGTTTGAGTCAGTCCCCTTCGACTGCATCTTTTTGTTCATGAAAATTCTTGTCATTATTCAATCAGTAAATTTAACTTCAAATGACTCATTTTTAAATTTAATGATAGTTCTAAGATTAAATTTGGACATTTGATCCAAAGTAAAGTGTATATATATATATGGTTGAATAGAAAAGCAGAATCTTGAGAGATTTCACAACGAATTCTACAGAGCATCTTACTTTGCTTACAGCTAAAGCAAAGAATTAACTTTTAAAACGTTCAATATTTTGTAACAACGTATTCTTTTCTTCTTCCTTCGAAAGAAAAATAAGAACCGAATAACAAAAACAGTCCCATTGAAACAAACACATAATAATCACAGTAAAGGACTGAACCAAAACTCCAAACCACAATCCAATCAATGGAAGTTCGAAAATGGATACATAAATTTCAATCCAACAATCTGAAGCTCCTGGAGACGATGGATGGATCAGCAAAACGAGCAGAGAAGGATCTGCAGAGATCATCAGAATCAGAGCCCCAATTTTCTTGTTCAAAATTCAACCGATAAGCATTTGGATTATACGAAGAACGCAATTCAGCCGAAGAACAACTGAAGATTCTGATCTTCTCCTTCTTGAATTTCTGCCACAAAATCTGCCATCCGAGGAGCCGTTTGCTTTCTTGTTTATTCGAAGAGCCACAGTTCTGCCCTAACCTGATGCTTTGACTGCGTGAATTGCGCCATTTGATTCCCATTTGCCGATTGAAGCTCTCAAACGATGAACAGCGGAAGCAAAATCGATGAATTAATTGGAGAGAAGATGGATGGTTTAAAAGGGAATTGAAACTCAACTGAAGAAAAGAGCCGCCGAAAGAGAAAGAGGCTCTGTTTTTCCCTCTCTCGTGTGTGGAAATGAAATGGAAAGAGTCAGAGAGTGACACCCTCGTCTGATTGTATAATATATAATTCAATGGAAAAAATGATGGGAGTTCGACAATTAGGATTAAGATATAAACGTGACGATTGGATTCTTATTTGACTTTAAGCCTTCGTATGATACAAAATTGATGAACTCAAAAATGGAAAAAAAAAACATTATATAATTTGAATAGCCAAATAGGTAGGTAACCTGAGAAAAACACGTCTACTTTGAATATAAGCCCTTATGACTTTGTTTTGGGCTTCTCCAACTAGTCTCACACTAATAGATAGAGATAGTATTTTTTATTTATAAACCGATGAGCTCCTCCAACGTGCCATAAACCCATAGGCTTCTCCTGTACCTTGATTATAAACCCATGGGCTTCTCCAACCGGCCATAAACCCATAGGCTTCTCCAACAAGCCAACCGGCCTCACACCAATTGGGATAATATTTCTTGATTATAAACTCATGATCCATAAATTAGTCGATGTACGACCTCCAACCGATAATACCCCTTAAAGCATAGTTATATTGAAATTTAACTCTGATTTATCTTTCTAAGATCGAGGATAAAAATGAGCGATTAATAACCCTTTTCTTATAGATAAATATAAGTAAATATTAATAGTATGGACTGTATTAGATTTTAGGAAAGATATCCATTTATACCTTTATATTTTGGAAATGGTGTGAATTAAATATTAAAAATAATAATTATATCAATATAAATTCAAAAAAATTATAAATGAATCAAAACAAGTGTTTCAAATGAAGTTTAATACGTCTATAGCACCTACCCTATTCATATATATATTTAGGACTAATTAATTGGTATCTTATAAATCTAAAAAAAAAAAAAAAAAATCATTTTTTATGCCAATTTCAATACTACCAATGTACTAAATAAACAATCAACAACAAAATTGATGTATTTTTAAAAAAATTTAAATTAATTAATCATGTAATTTGTTTTATCTTTATTAGATTAAATGAGATAAAATAATATCCATATCCAAAATGTTCTTAAAATAAAATGATTCCAAAGGAACTAAATTCCAAGCCAAAACTAAATTTGTATGGGTCAAGACAACCCTACATAAGATGATTTAAAATTGATTTAATTGATCCCTCATATTCTATACAGCTACAACAAATTGAGCACCAAAACTAATTATAGGCATTAGTTATCATCAAAACATCAAGATCATAACCTAAACTAAGAACTAATTTTAGCAGAGGCAGAGAAGGAAGAAGGCCATGGATAGATAGATAGTGAATTCCATATATACTAACCAACCATAATGGCATGTCTCCACATGCAACTGCTGCCTTCGTTCCAAAGCCTCAAAATTTGGGCATGTGCGTGTAGGAAGGGAAAGCCGACGACTACATAAGCTAAAGACATCGCAAGTAAAATCATAAGCCACTCACCTAGAAATTTTCTCTCGCTGACATTAAGTTCCTTCTGATGTTCCGGCTGATCCTTGGAAAGCTAGGACTTCATCTGACCGATTTCCACTCATTTCTGCAAGAGGAAGATCGTATTAATTCATTAATTCCATAAAAACTACCCTAGACAGATATAATATAGAAAAACATACCGTTTCTTGCTCTAACGAGAAGGAAACAACATTTTTTTTTTATAAGAGATATTTTCATTGATAATTGAAATTTACAAATGGAATGAATAATCCATGGTGTTTACAAAAGACCTTTCCAATTTGCAACGAAGGACGTACAACAGTAGGAAGAGTAAAAATATTAGACAGTATAGACCAACATATAGCTTGGTAAACAATATTGTCGAAAAATTTTGTGCAAATATTTTCTAATTTCTTTCTTTCCACAAATTCCAGAAGAAAGCCACAGATGAGATTTTTTCATAGTAGGACTTTTGCATTCTTGAAAGGGTGGTACATCAAGGGCATTTTCCACACCGAAACAACAAATTTTCACCTAGCCACCAAGTCATTACAGCAGAAATGGGTAGATTTTTCACATTTGAGTAAGATCGAGAAGGTTACCAATGGACAATTGCCGATAAATCCCCTTTAATAACTTGCAGGAGCAAGATAATTAAGTCTATCGTCTCTGATACTAGCAAGACAAAGGTACTCCTCCCATGATTCAAAATGTGCTAGATCAAAAGGATTCTCAACTGGTTGAACGCCTCTGTGAGGCCAATGGAGCTCATCTAGATTTCAGCTTGCCCTTGAGTTCTCTTAACTCCTCTTCTTGTTGCTAGAAGTAAAAAGAACAAATACAAGTTAAGAAAAGATACCAACTTCAATGATAACATTGCATCCTTTAAGTTCAATATATAGAAATTTAAACCTTAAACAACTTTCTGCAGGCGCGTTCTGATCTTTCTTGTAGTAAACACCATTCCATGGCCATGTCGTATTCTACTGTGTTCGGCTGAGAACAATGTGAAGTTGATACAGCTTCTTTCTGGGCAGTAACCAAGAATCAATGAATAGATGAAGAAATTGGGGAATGAATAGGCACGGTCTTAAATAGTGTAATCGGTGTATTTCAGAGAAGAGGCACACATTACCATCTCACGTTGCATTAGATGTCTAAGCTTATCAATACTGTGATGCCCAAAAAAAATTTGTTTCTTTGACGGAAGTTGAGGAATTGCAAAGCTACCAACAAGAGCTCTGAGAAAATTCAAGGGAAAAAATTAGCTGGAAAAGCTAGATAACACACCTTGTGAGCTATTTTTACAGCTTAATTGATGTTATTCTTGATAATTTTCAGGCTATTCCCCCATATATCTCTGTTCATATTGGAGTAAACGGACGATTTAAATAAAACAAAAGATGTCAAGGAATGCACCAAAATGAATGGCCAGTAATGGAAAATGTGTCAAACTAAAATGAGAAAAGTAAACGGGGAAGACAACTATCAAAATAGTTACTGCCGCTATGAAATCAGAAACCACCATCTTATGACAAACCCAGGCCCGAAACCGGCATGTTAAACTAGTCCAGAGGGCCAGAGCCAAATGCTTTCGAACAATAACAATCACTATTTAATTAGAAAGACCTTAGAAGAAAGGAGATGAGCTGAAAGTAAGAGCAGTAAAGACTATATTGAATCCAAGCTTACCTCCCATTTGCAAGTAATAAGCAACCTTCATCTAATTTTCGAACCACTTTCTCCGCTGCTTCCTTAGTTTTGAATACAACATGAGCTTGACCTACAAAAAATGGGCAGCAGAATTCTCTAGGAACTCAAAACAAAAATAATAGAATTTCAAAAGCACAGGGTCGTTTTATCAATAATATGGAATATGAGTTGGGAAAATGTCCTAAACTCATACCTATGTGAGGCATAGAAATTGCAGTACGCTGAATCATCTTAGCTGTGCAACTCTCGTTGAAGGCATGCCAGACAATATCCTGGAATGTTGCACAGAAAACAACAAGAGGAGGTATCTTACTCCCATATAAAGTAGGTTTCATTTATAGTAATTAAACTGGTCTAAAGTTTAAATAATAGGGTAAGATACACTTTTGGTACCTAAAATTTGGGATTAGTGCCTAATTGAACCCTGATGTTTCAAAGGGATACTTGATCCCTGATATTTTTTTTAATTATGTAGTGTTTTTTTCCTAGTGTGGCTTTTTCTCTCTCCCTTTCCCTACTTCTCCCTTGACCATCGCTGATCTGGCATTCTAGTAGTTGTTCCACTGTTCATCTCCTCACCCGTTAAATGACCGCCCCCCGTCTTCCCAACTTTTGACCATAACTCCCTTGCTCCCTCAGTTTCAGATTTGCAAATTGGTTAATTAAACTAGTAAACTTGATTAAAAGACAAATTAGATGCTAAAACTTGAGAACTCAAGAAAATTGAAATATCCAAATCACAAGTCGAACTCGAATAGTTGAAGAAAACCCATCAAATTTTAAGCTTTCAGGGAAAATATCCCACAATTTTTATAGAAATTTTCTAGCCATTTTCTATTTTTTATTTTTTATAAGAGACAATTTTATTGATGATTGAAATGTACAAAAAGGGATGTAATATCCATGGTATTTACAAAAGATCTTCCCAATTTGAAATGAGGGAGGTACAACAATAGCAAGTAAAAATATTAGACAATTTACACCAAGAAATAGCTGGGTATAAATTTTCTAGCCAGATTGTCGCTCTCTCTCTATTTTCTGGGATGCCTAGTGGTAGTGTAAATAAAAACCAATAGCAGCAGAGAGAAAATTGAGATTGGCTGCTATATCACAAGATTTGATGAGAGTAGGCAAAGGGGCGGTGGGTTGTTTCTATCTTCTAACTTCTAGTTTTCTCTCTCTACAACTTCTCTGCAAGCAAGGGAGGTGAGAGGACGACAAGAAAGGAAGGGAAGTGGAGAAAAAAGAAAGCGTGATGGTTCTGCAGAGTCAAACAATGCATAATGTAAAATTAGTATAAATGCCATCTAAATAAATTTCCCACACCAACAACGCCACACTAGATTTTTGTTAGTCAACTAAAGATCAAATTTAGTTTAGAGACCGTTTAGAACTATTTTTCAAATCTCAGAGGCTCAAGTGTTTATTTCGAAACCTCAGGGACCAAACGTGTATTTTTTTCCCGAATAACAATACAATGCAGAAGCACGTCACATCAAATAATCAAAGCAAAAAATTGATTTTTTACCTCCACTTCACCTGAAGTGTAAGCAGGATCCAAATTCTGAATTAGAACAAGTGTTCCTTGCTCATATGCATCTTTTATTCTTTCTTCCCACGGCTGGCATAGAGATGATCAGTTTAATTGGTTTAGAATAATTACATCAAACCTTAGAAAGAGCAAGATAAGCACATCGCAAAAATTGGCCACGTAAATGGGATCTAGTTTTAGGTACAAAACAAGAAACTTTCATCAATCAATACAGTGAAAAGAAATACAAAAATGAGAGGAAAGCATCAACCGACCTAATGGAAGATTACAAAAAGCTCATTTAATTGGCTCAAAAGTTCGGCCAGTCGTAATCACAAAAAAGAGGTTGTAATTAGCATCAGCCACCGAATAAGAGCTACAAAAATCTATCCATGATGACTCCTTTTTGGATATTTCGGAGGTCCAACCTTTTCTTTCACCACCTACTGGTTAAGGGACCTTGTTTCTTCTTACCTTCGTGAATATTTATAGTTTACCATTTTAGCAAGAAAACCCTCCATGTTTTGAAGACTTCCCTCCCCCAGAACCCACGGTCAATACTTTTCAACTATCTAGAGAATTTATGATTAAGTGGAATGTTGATGAGAGTGACAGTGCAACTACCTAACCAAACAAGGGCCGCCCACCCATTGAAGTGTAAAGGAAAATGTAATATCCCGTTTCATTTTGAGATCTTAGATCTTCTTGCCCTAAATCTCGGTTCTAGTTTTGCAAAGAGAATCTTACTCAATTTGTACGGTATCACTCTTATAGTTCTTGTCTCCTTTTCAAACCCTTCAAATCACCTGTCTTCTCAACCTTCTTTCTCCTTACTTCTCTGAAATCTTTTTTGTGCTCCTCATTAAAAAGAAAAGGAAGTAGAGGCCTAGAATCATGGCTATTTAAACTCCAAATTGGAAATAAATAGAATAACTAAATAAATGTTTAGAAACAGTGGTAAAGACAAACGGATCCCTAAGATTGACGTGCAGTTAAACAAATACTAACGTAAAATAAAAGAATCTGACATTAACAACATGAATAACTAAAATTATATGCAACCAAAGAATGAAAGATTGACTTACCAGTCCCTTGAACCATCTGCTTCTATCCTGTCCAATTGTTGAAAATCATAACAATCAGAACCTTAAAATCAATCTCAATAGAATTTTTGTATCAAAATAAACAAGAAGATATATTGGGCCATTGTAAAAGATCCATATTCCACTACAGTTCCATACTATTCCATACTAAATAAGCATGGAACTTTTGATAATATGGAACTGTATCAAGTAAAACATAAAATGGGTTGAACATGGGAGACATGAGACTTAATCCCAGTAATGACTAACAACTAACATGATGCCAAATGCAGTGCTTCATTTCATGAATAAAAAACTATTTGTGCAAGCAATAAGAAACTGATTGAGGTAAATATAAAGTGTACCATCAAACTCCACATCTGCTAATTCTATAGGTCAAACAACCAAATGAATTACACTATTTTATGTTTTCCATTTTTTTTTTTTTTTTAATGAGAAACTTAGCTTAATCGAGAGAAATATACAATAGCATAAAAATAAAAATAAAAAACCACCAACAGAAGTAGCTAATAGTAAATAGCAAAACGACAATACTAGAAATACAACTTACAGCATCTGGCCTTCTAGTAACTTCCACAATTTCACCATCTATTTTGCAGTCTGTAACTGAAGATATTTGGGAAGAGGCCTTTAGGTTCTTGCCATTAGAAACCTTTGTTGGCTTCTCATCTAGCTTGGGCTTCTTTATAAGGCTATCTTTGGTTTCATGATAATCTTTGGTTTCAGAAGCAAGAACCTTAGGTGTATAGCCATTTTTGCAATTGAGGGCAAGCCTTTCAATGTCACTCTTGGTCTTTCCATGGGATAATTGAACAGAACTATCTAGTTTTGCCTTCTTTGCTGACCTATGTTCATCTTCAGCAGAGACCCTGGGGCTTTTAACTCTACCGTCAACATCCTTAGCTCGAGCTTCAACACCTTTACCGTGTGTCTCAGTAGAATCAATTTCAGGCTTCGGAGATACCTTATCATCTAAGATGTTTTCTTGTTTACTACTAGTTCTAGCCATTCCATTTCCCCCATCAATCACACATACACCAGACCTCTCTCCATTGGAGGATTTCTCAATAGGCTCCTCCAACTCAACATTTTCCTTTGTGGACTTCTTGAAAGAGTTTGCAGTAGTCTTCAAAGTTAGTTCCCCATCGGAAGTATTACGTCCAGAAGGATCTTTTGATTCAGTATTTACAATTGCAATGACACTTGCATCTTTCCCATCCGTATCGGTCCTCGTAACATCTTTTGACGTATCTAATCTATTAAGTAAAAATTTAACTGCGATGGAAAAAGAAACACTCAGTTTTGATATCCCATTGTAACAAATCAGCCAAGGGTCAAACTATTGAGACATTGTTATGAAAAACTGAACTTGAACCTTCTACTCCAGCAATTTTTGCACACATCTCATTGCAGACCTCTTGTTTTCCAACATCAAATGTACGAAAAAATACAAAATCAGCCTTTTCGAGTTCTTCATCTGAAGGTCGTGGATTTCTGCTGTCATCTGAAATGCAGATAACGTTGCACTTTCCAGCAATTGCTTCCTGGTTTGAGACACAAAATATACGGAAATGAGTTGTTAAAAAGAAATTAACAGTCGCACTCACACACACAATCAATTCCTTCAATCATTTTTTTTTTCTTTCTTTCTTTTGAATGAAGAAACAAACCCATTGATATAAAACCAGAATTTTCAAAGTGCAAGACAGCCCCATTTCAATAAGTCTCTTAATTTCCTTAAAGCAAGAGGTGACAAAAAGGCATTGCTAACATACCCATACCCCCGTTAACCATCACTAGAATAGACTTCAATTCTTTCTTTACTTCCTTGTTTCATAATTTTTACCAATGACTTGCAATTAACAAGTAAACTTGTTGGACAAACAAGGTAAAAGAATCAAGAGAAAGAGTATATTTGCCACAAAACGGTAAAGTTACAAGCTAAAAAATTACCAGAGGATTAATATTGGCAAGGCCAACGCCATCACCGGATGCCAAAAATAATTCATCGTCCCGTGTGTCTTCAGCTCCAAGATAATTGCGAATTTCACAAGACCGAAAAAACCAAAGAATTTTTACTTTCTTTGTCTTATCAGGATTCTGCCAGATTTTAAGAATTTTGCCAATATAAGGCTCTGGTTCACCTTCCTTATATAGGTAGACAGAGTCATAAAGAAAATATTCTACACCGTCGTAAGTAAAAGATTCATAAAAGGTCACGTCCTTCTTCTTCCCACCAATCCCTTTCCTTTTGCCCCATTGAAATTCAATATTCTCCAATTGCTCTATCTCTACCATAATACCAATGCGGGCCTCCACAATAAGAAATGCAGCTGGAACAAAAGACAGTAACAAATTATTTGGTAGCTTCAAAAAATGTAACAGGAATGTCAAAAAAAGAAAGCCTGCACCAACCAAAATAATAACCCTGAAATTACAAAAAAAAAAAAAAAAAAAAAAAAAAAAAAAAAAAAAAAAAAAAAAAAAAAAACTACTCCAACTTCAATTTTGTTTGAAGCATACCCTGAAATCAAGAGAAACTAATTTCACTTGAGTAAATAGAAATCCGATGTGCAAGCGAAGGTAAAATCGATATTTCACAACTTCAATTCCTCGAATAGAGAAATTCAGAACTCCAAAATCCACCGACCGAGTGTTTCTTTCAGCACATAAAATACAGAAACCCGCGCGACATTCATCAAGCATTCCAATACTAGTCTAGCCCTAACTTCAAGACCAATCAAGAATGGCAGAACGATAATGTATGAACATTTTTACAAATTCACAAACAGAATCGTTTTGATACCTGAAAGCGACCATGAAAGGTGAAAGAAAGTGCTGAAGATCTCTGATGATATAACGATGGAAGAGGCGCGAACCACAGAGACCGAAATCTGGAGGGAAATTAACAGTGGACGTAAACTCACTCAGACAGTATAACCCTAATCGCAAACGCGCGGTAAGGCACCGCCAACCTGCGTTTGAGCGGGCGCGTGTGGTATTGGTCTGAAAAACTCCTCCAATTTGATGGAACTGAAAATTAGGGCTTGTGGACTTCCTCCGAACAACTTGGGCCTGCAGTAAAATTGGAGTGTATAATCGCTACGGTAAAAATATATTATTTACAGTTTTACTTTATTACATTAAATCGTTTTCCTAATTTTACCGTCTATTTGAATTATTTCCCAATTTTACTTTAGTCATTTTAGTAATTTCAATTTAGTATTAAAATTTTACAGGTTTAACCATTTCTTAATACTTTTTACCCGTAAGGATATCATTTACATGATTTTTACGCTTAACCTCGGACTTAACATTACTAATACTTTTTCAAATTCTATCGCTCAAAAAATATGTGTAGTAATTAAGCTAATGAAAATTAATTTTTTGATAATGATAATATAAACTCGAAAAAAATATATATAATTTTATAAAGTTACCATATGATTATTACCACAGTAACTAATTTCTTAACCAGATAACTAACATCCCAAATTACACAAAAGTCCCCTACCAAAAAAGGAAAAAAGAAGTGTAATATATGAGTGGCATAGTACTAATAATATTACAAGAAAAGTAATTTAGGTTTATTTTTAAACTACGTGCCACGTGGACCAACAAGAAGCACAGTAAGCTTTTTTATTATTATTTTTCTTTTTTCTAGTATTTTGAAACCCATACAAGGTGGTCTTGTGGAAGGAAGTGGCAAACTGGAACGGTCCCTGGCTTGATCTTCAACACTTGAAAGGCCAAATGCTTTGGGTTCCAAGCTGACGTGTCGGTATGACACACGGCCACCGCGTCAGCTTTGGTCCCGTCAGCACCGACCAGACCAACCTTGTAAACTCGCGTGTGTTGCGTGGAATGGCAATAAAACACTGCGTACGGATAGCTCAACTTGTGGCACACAACCGCCGTCGTCGTCGCTGGAGACGATTTCTTCGCCAAATTCGCCACCGTAAACTGCTGCAAACCCGTCTCTTTCTCGACTTCCGTCGAGACCAACACCACCTCCTTCCCCAACCTAGAGGTGCTGAAATCCACCATCGACTCCAACGACGTGGCGCAGTACTTATCCTCGCCGGCGATGCCAGGCGCCTCGCATTCCTCGACGGCGTTCCGGATCAGCTGGGCCGAAAAACTCGTGGGTTTAACTGAGAACCGGTCGAGGATTTGGGGGAGTTTTTGGGATGAGAAGGGAACGGTTTTGGCTACTTCACGTGGCAAGAAAGTGGACGTGGCCGGGGAAGTTGGTTTGGGGAAATGAAGGGTCAGCTTTGAACCGGGCCGGAGTTTGTTTTCCAGAAAGAACAGGGCGGTATTTGGGTCGTCGTGAAGTTGGGTTTCTTTGGCTGCGTAGATGTAATTGAAGGGATTATAGCCTGGCTTAACTCCGACGTAAACTGGCTTCCCTTTGTGACCGGTGTGGACGTTGACGCCTCCTTTCCCGACGTTAACGGAGGTGCCTCCTCCGGGCTTCGCTTTTGGAGCGTGGACGTTAACCCCGCCTTTGCCAACGTTAACGGAAGTGCCTCCGGTCTTCCCTTTTGGAGCGTGGACGTTAACGGAGGTGCCTCCGGCCTTCCCCTTCCCGGTGTTGACGTTTACGCCTCCTTTGCCGACAATCACCGAAGTACTTTTGCCTTCTAGAAGGTCTACAAAAACGAGGTATTTTCCAACTTTTACTCCACTAAAATATATTTATGGTTATATATACATATATTGGTATAATGTTTTTAATTTAAAATAAATTTTAATGATATGAAAATAAAATTTTAAAATGAGTTTAGAGTAGGTTTGTGTAATGTCATGCCCACCCGGCTAGCAGATTCTCTCAAGGCTTTAAAACGTGTTTACTAAAGTGAGATTTTTACACCCTTTTAAAGAATGTTTCATTCTCCTCCCCAACCTTCCTTTGGCGTTCAGTGTCCTTGTTGGTACATCGCCTTGTGTCTACCCCTTTTGGAAACAACCTCCTCGTTGGCACATCGTCCAGTGTTTGACTCTAATGCTATTTGTAAAGCCCAAACTCACCGCTAGCAGATATTGTCCTTTTTGAGCTTTCTCTTACGGGCTTTCCCTCAAGGCTTTAAAACACGTTCGGTTAGGGAGAGGTTTACACACTTTTATAGAAGGGTGTTTCATTCTTCTTCCCAACCGACATGAAATATCACAGTTTATAATTGTATACTAACCAGAATTGAGGAGATCTTTAATGGCTTTTGGCATCGAAGTGTTCGGTAAAACAGAACTCCAATACTGTTCGGGCGAGAGATTAGCATGACTAATAGCAACTGCAAGCTACAACAAAAAGAAAGTTATTCTTTAAGAATTAGGATCGGATCAAAATAATATGTAAAAGCTCGGTAGTTTTGAAATATTTATGACTTACGAAGAGTAAAGAAAAAATGAGTGAGAAGCGTGACTCCATTGAGGAAGGCTCAAAGCAATTAAAGAGAATAAAATTTAAGAACTGTGCTAAAAGAAGTGGAAATGAGTGGGAAGATTTATAAGGATGGAAGAAGTAGAGGATGGCATCAGAAGGGTAGGCAACTTTTGTCAAAATAGTAACTTCCAACTGCCTCCGCCTCACCAACTTAAATGGCCCATTATGTCGTATGGGACAGGTGGATTAATAATATATATATATATATATATATATATATATATATATATAGCGAGCCCACATATAGATTCATTTACAGATACTGTATCGAACAGTGGATGTATAATTTAACCTCCGACACTCAAGTTGGGGTGCAATATCAACACGCTCATGTCACATGGTAGCTCGTTTAGGCTACAGAGCCCAAAGGTGGTGGAGAGCTGTAATGAGCACCACAAAATTTTGAGTAAGAAGAAAGAATATAATTTTAGTCTGCGACCTCATTTAGCTAAATGAAGTGAAATCTCTCCATCTACAAATTAAATGAACATTTTTAATTTATATGAATAAATTGAAATATAGTTTTACCCGACCTATTTAATATATTATTAAAATCTCACAAATTTATTTATGGTTGGAGTAATTTTGATTTATTGTAATTATTAAAATTTTGTTTAAATAAATCTTAAATTTAGTATTAGTATTTTTATTCAATTTGTATTTTAATCCTTCAAAATTAATTAAATAATTTAGTTCAAATTTTAAACTTTAATAAGTCACGAAAATATTCGGAAATTTGTACTGACATTTACAAAATTCATAGCCATAAAAATGAAATTAAATAAATTAATAATTTAATCCATCATCCTACATTCATTAATAAAATGTGACTACTTTCCCCCAAACTTACTGGGTACATCATACCTTCATTAATTAAGCGTGAATATTTTCAGTAAATTACGAGTTTGCCCCTACAGAATTTAATCCAACTAGTTAGTGCCACGTTTTCTGATCCTAGACCAATATTTATATGCCACGAAAGGTTTCCAACATCCAATCACGTTCTGCCACGAAAGGTTTTCTAGTATACCTTTATTTATGTTAAGCATATAATAAACATTTAAAAATAAATGCTGAAGAGAAAAAAAAAAAAAAAAAGAATATATATAATATATATACTATCGTAATATTATAAAAAATTTACGTGATACATGCTTATTTTCTTCAACATTTAATTACGTTATTTTATTTCATGAATTCTATATGATTTTTTAGAAAAAAAAAAAACAATTAATTGGATTTGTTTAAAAATTAATTATTTATTTACCTAACAACTGCCATATTTATTGATCTGCTCGACGGAGCTTTCCTTAATTATTTCTGGTTGCCGGCCAATTTGGAATGTCATCCCATATTAAAAATTATTCTGATTAATTTTAAAATTTAAAATAAAATGAAAGTATAAATATTAAGATAAAAAGACGTAACGTAGACGAGATTTGTTTCCTATGTATTTGTTTTTTTTGTCTCGAGATATATATTTTTTTTTTTAAAAAATAATAATAGTTTGATTTTTTTAAATAGTCATAAATTATGTCTATAATCTGTTCGAATATTAAAAAACGTGACCAAAATTTTCATGCGGCCTTATTAAATTACAAATTATTTCGATTAAGTAATATTTTAAAGTAAAAACAATTAATTGTATTTGTTTCAAATATGTAATTAATTATGGTTCCCCATAAAAGGGCAACACCGTAAATTCAAAAAAAAAAAAAAAAAAAAAAAAATCCCAATTTCACCCTTTAAAATATCTCAGACAGCTTTGCTATACACATCATATTACAAGTGTTTGGACAAAGGGGCAAAGTTATCCTTATCCAGGATATGAATAAATGGGATTCAGTGGCTCCAACAGCGAATAGCACTCGCAAGATAACAACAACTTCCACCAATCTTCCATTCTATTGCCGGTTTAAAGTAAGCATTGGGACACTCTTGCCAACGCTGTTGCCTTTGTAAACTCTCCAAAATTCATGGACACTGTCAAACAGTGCAGGCTATTCAATATATAATTCATGATTCATTTACAATCAATCCGGACTCGAGATCGAGCACTTTTATTTGCAGTCATTGTCGATTCACGCTCGAAATCGAGAGAACCTATTTTCTGTACTTAGATAAATAACGACCTTTATGTATTGCCAACACGAGCATAACTGATAAGATATTGTACCTGGTTGACTCGGGAAGGCGAGTTGGCAAGATGCTTTTTTAGTGCTTGAGCCAGTAGTTCCTCAGCTGAGCAATATGTAGAAGTATTTCATCCCGACCCTGATGGGTGACACTGCTAGTCATGATCCACGGCGGAGTCGTTTGGAAAAAACCACTTATCAGTTCGTGAAAGTCGCTCACATTTTCTTCGGGTCGTTTTCCACCGTTCTTTTTCTTCTTTCGTTTGTCACATTTCGTAAATATTATCGTCATTGGAATCTGCAGAGACCGTTCCATATCAAAATTTCTGAAAAACCAAGGCATCAGATCAGTTGAAGGAAAAACTAAATTACCTGATTCTGACCCAACCAACTAGCATAGTCAAGATCAATTTGTTTGGCAGGAATGCTTGCATCTATAAGAAGGAAAACCGAAACCAACGTCGACCGATTCAGAAAATAGTTCTTCGTAAACTTGTTCCAATCCGTTCGGAGTTCCTGTGGTGCAGCTGCATACCTAAACACATAGAAGGAACAAAGTCAGAAAGTGAACTCAAATCCCATTGCAGTGCAAATCACTTAAAACCAAGTTTGAAAGTCGAAAAACGATCTTCTGACCGACATCGAAACACGTTGAAGCTGAGACATACCCGTATCCCGGCAAATCAACCAAGTACCAACTATCGTTAATTCGAAAGTGGTTTATGCACTGTGTCTTTCCTGCAAGAAGACATGGAGAATGCTTATATCCATATCCAACATTCTGATAATACAAATGGGAGAGTCTATATGAGATTAAACTGTACAAAAGATTTCGGACATTCGAGGTTTAAAGTTCACAAAAATATTGTTACGTGCCTACCCTCCCCCACCGATTTTTAGTATCTATGACGGTTTGGACTACCATGCATGCACCTCAGACTATCTTCATAGGACAACCGCGTCACCTATTATATTTGGTTGCTAAGACTATTAGGATCATACAACAACGCACACACTCGATCTTGATGAACACAAAGATAAGAGAGTGAAAATACAAAGATGAACATTGGCTAAAGGTTTATATCAATGACTTCAGGTACGTACAGTAAGAGACAATACAGAGAAAGCAGAAAGTATATTTTCACAGAGATGACCTTGACGCTTGTTATTTTGAGATCATATCTAATATTTAGAGTTTGCCTCACTTTGGTACCATTCTTGTGGCACGTACGCCAGGTCTCCCTCACAATTCCTTAGTGCATATGTACTCATAAGATAACAGAAAAGGCCTATAGCCCGCCTATAATTATGATGCAAATAAACCCTTTGGCCTCTAATTAACTCGCTTATTCCTTTTTCTACTCATTCGCAAATTGCTAAGCTAGAAGTTTCCACAAGATGAAGCAGAACTTTACGAGATCCCACAATGGTTGGAGAGGGGAACGAAACATTTTTTATAAGGGTGTGTAAATTTTTCCCTATTAGACGTGTTTTAAAATCGTGAGGTTGACAGCTATACGTAATGGGTCAAAGCAGACAATATATGCTAGTGGTGGGCTTGAGCTGTTATAAATGGTATTAGAGCCAATCACCAGACGGTGTGCCAACGAGGACGTTTGACCCACAAGGGAGTGAATTGTGAGATCCAATATTGGTTGGAGAGGGGAACAAAGTGTTCCTTATAAAGTGAAAACCTCTCCCTATTAGACATGTTTTAAAACCGTGAGGTTGACAATAATACGTAACAGGTCAAAGCAAACAATATATGTTAGCGGTGAGTTTACACGGTTACAAAATCCGCTTACGGTGCTTTGCTTAATGGATCTAATAGGTAATGAGCTCTTAAAATATTTGTTCTGTTAAGCTACGTTGGACAATTATCTTCTATTTCCTTGAACAGCCCTCTAATTCTTTTATCCATATTCATCTCGAACACAGTTTGAAACTACACCAAACACATCACAACAGCTACAACATATGAACAGAACCCAAACAGTCAAGATGAACTTAGGTCAGAACAAACCACTCACCTGGTTTCTTGGAGGTAAGAGCAAGCTTCTTCCGCCGAACAAGCGAGTTCAACAGTGAAGATTTTCCCACATTCGAGCGCCCAACAAGCGCAAATTCAGGAAGCCCATCAGAAGGGCAATCCTCAGTTGTCACACTACTCTTCACAAAATCCGCCTGAGAAACTTGCGCATCTCTCGCGTACCGACCCAACACAATGTTCGACCCTTTCAAGATTCTCGGCCCCGCAGCACCGCCGCCGGAAATATCTGTTTCCGGCGGCACAAATAGCTTATCAGGGGATATGGATAACTGGATTTCTTCCGGATATTCTGAAAAATCGGTGATCGGAATTGGTTCGGCCGGAGTTACAGTGGATTTGGGCAACTGGAATGAAGTCGATGTGAAAATGGGGGCTGCTGTTGCCGCGATAATTGGTTTATTGGCCGGAAATGCGCTAAAATTGTGATGGATTGGTAGAGTAAAGAGAGAAATGTTGATTTTAGAGAACTGGGAGAGAACCATCTCTGAGTTCGTGAGCATTTGCTCGCCTCTCTGTGGAGGTTTCTCAAGATTGAAAAAACGGCGGGTTCTGGGACTTGTCGATAATGTTAACAAATAAATAAATAAATAAATAAACAAATAAATATATTATATTTAATGATTTTCTAGGCAATTTGATGGAATAAAAAAATTAAGATGAAATTTAATACACTTTTTACCGATTTATTAAAATTTGATATTTCCCCTAATTTCTTTATAATGATTAAAAAAAAAACAATAAAATCGTAAATGCAAGCCATGTATAAAAGCTAGAGCATTGCACATATAGGCGCCGGATCGCGAACTCCGGAGTGAACTATGGCGGTAGCGCGAAACAGGGTTCTGGCATTGGCCAAAGGCGGTTCCTCCAGGATTCCGCTACGGTTACAGGAAGCTCATTATCGATGTATTTGCCGGAGATTTGTTTCTACTGATCCGTCGAATTCGATTTTGAATCCTCTGGTTCTCAGGTTGATTCAGGAGCCAAGTTCGTCTGTGAAATCCGTGCTTGATTCGCCGGAAAATGATTTTCTTGGCAGCTCGCGACTTTCCTGGAAAGCTCTTGTTACGTCTCTTATATCTTCCTCGTCGCCTAAGAAGGCTCAGCTGGTAACGCTACCGATCCTCTCTTTTTCCTCCATTGTTGTCTGTTTAGTTGGTTGTTGAGTGGATCTAGGGAAAGAAAAGCTATGGATTCTGTGAGTCAGTAGGTTGTATCTGAAATGGATGGATTATGTATTTTTGTTCTTCTTTGAACACGAAACAGTAAATGAAAGTAATAAATAAAGAGAATTACAATGGATCAATTGGCGGGACGAGCTTGATAGGGAAGATTCGTTGGTTTCTTTCAAATCATAATTCAAAACGAGAAGATTTAACAGCGAAAGACCACAAAGTATTTGATTTTGGAGGCAAATATGGACTGATAAACAATTAAGCACAACCCTGACCTGAATATCTTGCAAAACAAAAGCAGCAAACGATTTGGATAGGGAGTCCATATAAGAAAGCTTTCAGGCTTGCAAATTCAAAGAGCTGAAGCCAAATAAAAGATTTGGAGGGATTTTGTAACTTGATTGGGACTTGGGAAATGTTTGAGAGTGCCTTTTCAAATGATTCAAATTACTTTCTCCATCTTCAAAATCACTTTGAAAACATGCTTTTGATCCTTCACAATTTTGCTGATATGAAATTTGATCTTTTGAATGATTAAAAGCATGTGTTACCATGATGTTGAACATAACAAACGTGACTTTAACCATCTCATCTCAAATCTTTTAACTGTCCAAACTCACCGCTAGCAGATACTGTCCACTTTAGCTCGTTATGTATAGCTGTCAACCTCACGATTTTAAAATGCGTCTATTAGGGAGAGGTTCTCACACCCTTATAAGAATGCTTCATTCCTCTCTCGAACCGATGTGGGATCTCACAATTTATCAATGCCTCTGCTGGGGAGATGTTTCCACAGTCTTATAAAGAATGTTTCGTTGTATCTCTAATCAATATGAGATCTCACAATCCACCCCTTGGGGGCTGGCATACCACTCAATGTTTGGCTCTAATATCATTTGTAACATCCCAAACTCACCACTAGTAGATATTGCTCTCTTTGGGCTTTCCCTTCTAGCCTTCCCTTGGAGTTTTAAAACACATCTATAAGGGAGCTGTTTCGACACCCTTATAAGAAATGTTTTGTTCCCCTTTCCAACCAATATGGGGTTTCACAAATTCACTCTCAAACATGCCCTTAGATTCATCCCGATCAATTAAATAATCTTCGGAAGAAACGGGTTTCATGTTTCAGCCGTCTTTTCTTTCAATGGCTTTAGTGATTGGCAAGTTTATGTTTTAGTGATCATGAGTATCTCGTGATTAGCCTTTGTTTGACTTTATCAGGCTTTGGAATGGAGATTGGAGAAAATGAACAAAGAAAACGAGAGGGATCCTGACTTTTACATCGACCTAATACGTCTTTGTGGAGAGCTTCAGAATGTCCCTCTTGCAATGCGTGTCTTCACAGCTATGGAATTTCAAGGAGTTAAACCCACGGTGACTGCTTTCAATTCACTTATAGAGGTTTGTATATCTTCGCATAATATGATAACTGCCTTCAGCATGTTTGAAATAATGAAAAATTCTGAAAGTTTTAAACCCAATGCTGACACTTTCTTCTATTTCATTTCGGCATTCGCCAAACTGCGCGATGTAAATTCCATGGAAGCATGGTATTCAGCCAAAAGAGCGTTTGAATTCTCTGCTGATCTTCGAACCTATGAAGCTCTTATACATGGTAGTGTGAATTCAAAGTGCTTTGACTTTGCTGTTAGATGTTTTGATGAAATGATGTTATCTGGCATTGTGCCCAACGCAATCATATTGGATAATATGCTTGAAGGGTTCTGTAAAAGGAAAGATTTGGATGAACTCAAGAAGTTCTTAACTGTTGTGCTTGACAAAGGATGGGAGATCAAATGGAATGTGGTAGAGAAATTCATTCCGATATGGTTTGAATCTGGGGAGGCGGAAGGAATGGAGGAGATCCTTACCAAGCTGAACGAAGCAGCTCGACTATAAAGAAGAGGATATTCAAGAATAAGTATGTTCCGGAGTTTAGCAGCTTTAAATAGAGTAAATATTCTATGGGAGTTCATTTTTCTTTCATTTTCTTCTTCTGGCCTGAGAGAGGAAAGAAAATTGAATTCGATTCTCAATAGCATATCGTCATAAAGAAATGGTAGAATGATAACAACGTGTGTGCCCCATGTTCAAACGATTCGATGGAACTCTTTAAACATGGCTTGCCATTTGAATGGGCAGATGGGCTTGCCACTTGAATGCCATTTGAATGGACTAGACTTATTTATTGACAGCAGTAAAGGCAAATATTTGCACACATTGCCATTTGAATGGGCAGATGGGCTTGCCACTTGAATGCCATTTGAATGGACTAGACTTATTTATTGACAGCAGTAAAGGCAAATATTTGCACACATTTGCATATTTGTTGTAATAACTCAAGCTCACTGCTAACAAACATTGTTTGTTTTGACTCGTATCACGATTTTAAAACACTCTAATTGATGTGAAATTTTACATTTGTCTTGTTTGCTTATGGTTTTGAGGGCTGATTTAACCAGTGGTACTGATTTTGGGTTTCATATGCATTCTCTTTTGGCTGTGCAAGCAAGTCGTGCTTCCTTTGGTATACTTTTCATATTCCATTCTTTTTGGGTTTTTTTAGCCATATTAATAATAATAATTACTCCTAAATTTGGAACTTATCTAAAAAAAATTAAATGCTCTTAAACTTTTAAAAAAACTATATTAAAACTACTATTTTTGTTAATTTTAAATTAAAAAAAAAAACTTTAAAAGGATTTATTAATTCTCTATTAAAAAATATTCTATCTCCATTTTTTAGGTTACTTTATTAGTATTTTTAAATTGTGTATTTTTTTTAAAAGTTTAAAGGATATTAGTGAAACTTTATAAAAAAATTTAAATGTTAAAAAAAGATTTTTTTGAATTTATTTATTTATTATTATTTAAAGATATTTTATAAACAAAATATTAATGATTTTTATCTAATGGTAATGTTTTTAATTTTTTTCTAAAGTTTAGTCGATTATTAATTTAAATTAATTTCTTTCCATAAAAACAGCTCTATTAACGTAATCTTTATAAATTGTGAAAATATATATTTGTAAAATTATTATTATTTTGTAACAAATTTGGAAAAAAATTAATTCGGCAGGTCAAAAGACTAAAATTGAAAAACTTAAAGCAGGAGGACATGTCATACGGAGGGAAAAAAAGAAAACCGACGTGGCGAAACGTGAATGGATAAAAATCAGCAAAAGACGTGGCTTCATTTCGGTACCCATGCCTGTCGTGTTGTATAAGAATTTTTTTTAATAAATTTATTGTTTTATTTTCACTGGTTTTGCCTAAATACCACGTCCAATCACAAACAACCATTCGCATCACTTGCCATTTATAAACCAATAAGAAAGCGCCACGTTTCAAAAGAAACGCATTTCCGTCACATTTCCATAAATTTCCGGTCGTCTTAGGAGGTCAGACGCTTTAAAGCAGCAGTCCGGTGGATTGATGTCGTTTTTAATTTCTAGTTTTACCCTTTCAATCCCTTTGTCATTTTTTTTTTTCCATTCGTCAAGTTAAACCCTAAATCTGAAAATTTTGTGAAAATTTTCCTTCTCTTTCTTCGGCGAGCTCTCCGTTCTGCGTGGTCAAATCCACTCGAAGTCTTCGAGCCGCCGATGACTGGTACGGTTTTTTGTTCATTTATCTAATTCAACGACTATTTTATTCCTTTTTTGTTGATTCCATTTCGAATTTTGTTAAAAAAATTTATCGCTATTTGATTAGCACGTAGTTTAAGTTGCGCTGCGAAATTGCGGCATTTTGAGAATGATTTGATGTTTCATATTGGGTTAGTGCAATTGATCTTTTGTTTTTTTTAATCAATGTATTTGTGTGCGAGTTTGATTGCAGAGGGAGCAACTGCGAGACTATTATCTTAGTTTTCAAGATTAACAGTGTTGGTTGAAAGTGTTCAATTGAGAATCGCCTAACATGAAGAACGCCGAACGCATTGCGAATTTTGCTTTAGCCGGTGGGTAACCAATTTCTTGTACTGCTTTTTCGCCGATGTAAATCTGGAGATCTTTGTTTCTTTTGTGTTTAGCTGTTTATGAATACAGCTGAAATTCTATGAATGACGAGCGAATGGGTATATTATCAATCGAATGAGCGTTCGCAACATCACTTAATTAGATAGAGCTTGTATTTGAATGTCCAATTTACTTTGTTCTCCATACGTGTCATTATGTATGCTACGCGTATTCTTGGGTTGTTATATGGCATGATCATAGATTATATAATCTTGACTGAATTCCATTTGTAGTTTCTTGGACTTCTTTGCAAGATCTGTATCTCTCTTAGGTAATTGGTATCTGTAGTTTGTGCTAGAGAATAGACAAATCATGTATGCAAGCTATCGTGGTTTTCTTATTATCAGTTATCAGTTGGTATGAAAATTGACGTCTGGAAATTGCATAAAATTAAAATCAGGAAATGAGAATTACAAGTATTCTGAAATCATCACGTCATATTAGGACATGCATTCTCATTAAAAATCATTAGATGTGGATTTGTATCATTCTTGGAAGACTTGAGTAACCCTAAAAATTGTATGAATATTCATTGATCTCTATGGATATGAATGAATTTGTACCCTGTTTTCTATCAAATAGAACTAAATGCAACAGTACCTACTAGAAAGTCGTTAGTGAAAATCGAACATAATATCTTAATTTCCAGTGTATGGTTAAGCCTAACCTCTTAATCTTTTTGGGTGCAGGATTGTCATTAGCTCCACTTGTTATGAAGGTTGATCCTAACGTGAATGTGGTTCTGACTGCTTGTCTAACTGTTTATGTGGGTTGCTATCGGTCTGTGAAACCCACTCCACCTTCAGTAAGTGTAACGAGGAAGTTACGCCAAGTTGTTTATTGCTTCCGCTTTCTTCATTTCTTTCATGGTTACAATTCCATTTGCTTACAATGTCTTATTCTCAAATATGCAGGAGACGATGTCCAGTGAGCACGCCATGCGTTTTCCCTTTGTTGGGAGTGCAATGCTTTTATCTCTTTTCTTGCTTTTCAAGTTTCTGTCGAAGGACTTGGTCAATGCAGTCTTGACGTGCTACTTTTTTGTGCTTGGGATCCTTGCTCTTTCGTATGTATTCAAATGTGTTGGTCATAAGCACTTCTTATTAAGTATGCTGCTCTAATTCATAATTTTATTAATTATATCCTCTTTCCATTCTATCTAGAGCGACTCTGTTGCCTGCTATTAAGCGATATCTGCCAGACCATTGGAATCAAGATGCTATTGTATGGACTTTTCCATATTTCCGTGGTATGTGATTTTGTTTTCGCTTGATGTATCTTCCCAAAAAATGAACAAATTTCCAAGTTTTTTTTTTTTTAATTTTATAATAATGTATATAACTATTTGAAATGATCCTTGGTCGATCAGTTGTTTAGGGCACTTCGTCGGCTTTGAAGAATTTAATTTGCCACTTCTCCTATTAAGGAAATTGAAATTAATGGTTTCCATTACAGTTTCCCTTATGACTATATTTGTTTGCCAGGTTTGGTTAAACGCCAAATTATTCTGAATTATGGACAACGGTTTTTGTTGATTTGAGACTCGTATGATTTTTTCCATTTTGTTTGATTGTAACTTCATTTTTTGTTTTGGATTCTTCTTCGTCTTTCAAGATTCAGCTGATTTTATCTGCTTGACCTTATCTCCTTTCATCATGCAGAATGATATTTTTCCTTTCATTTCTTACACAGCTTTGGAGATCGAGTTCACCAGGTCTCAGGTCGTTGCAGCAATTCCTGGAACCTTTTTTTGTGCATGGTATGCTTTGAAGAAACACTGGCTGGCTAACAACATCTTGGGCCTTGCCTTTTGTATCCAGGTACAGTAGCTACCTCTTAAAATAATCGGCCCTGTAGCCATCGGTTTGAGCAATACTTCCTTCTGTAATTCCTTAATGTGGCTGGAAGTTCTTTGCTGACTGGCAAGATTTTTGTTGCACAAATCAAATAATCATTCTCTAAGTATCTCTAACATTAACTACATGTGGTTGAGCATTCGTTGAAGTGATTAATTATCTGTTTTCCATTTGCAGGGAATTGAAATGCTTTCTCTTGGTTCCTTTAAGACTGGTGCCATACTTTTGGTAAGAAGAAGAACATAAGGATTTGATAATGAAAGTTAATGATAATTGGGTTACTGTTGTATAGAATACTTAAGGTGTTTGATAAAACATGCTACTGGATAATCATCCTACTCTTGACGGAGCATGCTTTGGAATTTGATTGTGCCAACTTGATGTATTCTTTGTTTTGAGTGCAACGGTCACGATGTGGCATTTTGAGGCAATTTTGAGGCAATTCAGTTTTCAATTATCAATTTATTGACTGAACTTTGAGAAAACTAACAGGACACACATCTTTCACTCCTCCAATTTAGTGACTGGATATTGTCATAATGCTTTGTTAGTGGTGTGTCCCTTTGCACACATTCTGATCAATCATGTAATTTTATTTTGACTGTTACTAATTTGTTTTTTTTTTTTTTTTTGTCTAAATTCTCCACAGGCTGGACTGTTTGTATACGATATCTTCTGGGTTTTCTTTACTCCAGTGATGGTTAGTGTCGCAAAATCGTTTGATGCACCTATAAAGGTCTGTACTCTTGCTAAACTCGAATACTTGATGTTTGCGTCACAGTGAAATGTGATTTGGGCTGAGCAGACTGTCTAATTATCGTTTTCTAAATTTGTCTGCAGCTTCTGTTTCCCACTGCAGATGCTGCTCGACCATTCTCCATGCTTGGACTTGGTGACATTGTCATTCCTGGTGAGTTTGGATGTCAATCTACATATCTCTGGCGTGTTTATCCCAAATGAAAGTTCACATGTGCTTGTCCATATAGCTTGAAGGGAAGTATTGATAATATTTTTGTTCCTCTAGGGATCTTTGTTGCACTGGCTCTACGATTTGATGCATCCAGGGGAAAAGACGGTCAATATTTTAAGAGTGCTTTTATGGGATACACAGCTGGTTTGGTCCTCACAATAGTGGTCATGAATTGGTTTCAAGCTGCCCAGGTGAAGTTTGCATTAAATTTTAATATTTTTAAAAATATATCAAGGAGTTGATGAGACCTGATCTTTGTCTGCTTTCTTGTTTTCAGCCTGCACTTCTTTACATTGTTCCTGCTGTTATTGGATTCTTGGCTGCTCATGTCATATGGAATGGCGAAGTCAAACCGGTTTGTTCCCTTTTTTTGCTCTCTCAAATTCTTCTATCTTTGATTTCATGCTCGTTTTCAGTCTCGTTCATATACGCTTAGAGAATATCACCTGTCTCGTCCCGTCTCCTGTCCCCCGACCCGTCCCGACACCCCACCCTACCATAAAAGAAAAGTAAATGGATATTTATGGCATGGTTGTGCATTGATTCAAATTGTTGTTATATTATATTGTGCAGCTATTAGAGTTTGATGAGTCGAAGAGTGGTATTTCATCTGAAGATGGCGTTGAAGATGATAAAGGAAGCAAGAAGGAATAAGAAATTTTCAATGTGGTTGAAGATGAGTCGAAGGGCGGGAGGCATAATTTTCAATGTGGGCTATATAAAGCAGATCATATCCATCCATATCCATCCTGTAAGCTAAACCTTCCTTTTAACATGGGCCTAATTTATTTCCAAAACATTGCCTTGCCTACTCTGCAGTCCCGTATCCACGTAGCAACTCCTCTCCTCTCCTCTCCTCTCCTCTCCTCTCTCTTTTTATTTAACTCTCTTAGTTTTATTTTATTGCAACAGTGCCCCCTTGTCTGGGGTTCTTATAGCAAATTTACAATTGTCATAAATGCCCTCCCCTCTTCTTTTTCCCTTTTTAGATCTATAATTTCTTTTTAAAATATTACATCACAATTTGATCCTCCAATTTCTTCTAACCGGTACAGATTAATTCTTAGACTGACCTTATAATTTAAATAATAAACCCGATCTTTTGCAATATTATCAAATTCTTAATTATATATATTTTATAATTCATAACAGTTTTTAGACAACCCAACATTTTTTCAAGTTTTAAGCTAACATTATAATGTTGATGGGTTTTCGGTGTTATTTACTAAAATTGAAAGGCAATCCGAATTATTTAATCGATTCCCGACATTTCTAGAATACCTTTAGAGATAAATAGTCAATTTTGAAAGTACTTATTGTCAACTTCATTTAGATGTTAGTCTATCTCTCTCCTTTGGAAGCAAGCAGCATTAAGTAATTAACTAAATAATAATGTAATAACTAAAGTATTTGTTTTTTTAACAAGTTCTAGGGCTAGAATGAATATTAGAAAAATTAAAGGATTGACATGAGCAACATTCATTCTAGTAAGTGAGGCCGAGAAATTTTTATATCTTATCACGAGCAACATTCAACTTGTCCCGAGACTATTATTGGGTTGCGTGGGACGTGAAAAAAGAGAAATAATAAAGAAATAAAGGTAATCCGATTGGTTAAGAAAAATTTAGATTAAATTTCTTAACCACTAAAGGAAGATTTGACCAAATTTGTAACTTTCATTTATTCCAAATTTCTCCCTAATCCCAGAGGGTAGGTTGGTTCGCTTGAAGAGAATCTTTTCTATGATCAGACTTGACCATGTCATGCATGACCAGCTCCGTAAGATCCAGTAGAATAGGTGATATATCTAACATAATCCAGATTATGTTTTATCTATTTCACTTAATAGTATGAAAATGCATTCATTTCCTCTGCATTGACTCAATTTATGATACTATCGGAGTGAAATAAGGGATCTAAAGAAGAACATAGGCTAGACTCTATGAATAGGTAAAAGTATCAAATAAATTAAGAAACAAGTTATATTTTTTTAAAATTTTGATACGAATATTTATACCATTGGAAACTTATTGAATGTTGTACCAAATAAATTAATATAACTTAAAAGGGAGTTGAGTGGCTGTTACACCAAATTAAGAACTTAATTAAAGATGATATCACTGCTGACGTAGCAAATGTTCCCAATTAATATCTTTAAAATAAATTTCAAACCTATTATATTCCAAAATAAAAACAAAAGGTTATAAAATAATAATATTAAACAAAATCCAGAAATCCCGTCCTTGAACATTTTTGTTTTTGTTTTTTTTAAAATAATAAATTAATTAATTGGCAGACATATACTTTTTAATTGGTCATATTAAAATCATTTAAAAATACAATTGTGTTATTTTTTTTTATTTTTTTATAGATCCTGTTTCCTCTTGTGGACCTAATGGAACCTTTTTTAATTTTTTGTTTTGATTTGTCAACTAGACTGGTGACGTGGAAAAGAATAATATTATTTTTTGGAGTATTTTGAAATATGAATATTGAGTTGTAGTCCTTTAAAATTTAAGATATAAAAAATTAGTTAAATAATAATAGTAATTTAAAGGTAATTAATTATATTATGCAAATATGTTTAGAGATAAACTAAATTTAAGATTTATTTAAAAAACAGAAACTAAAATTGAAAAGTGTATGAACTAAAATGGTATTTTATCTAAAAATTTATTTAAATGTCATTTTATTTTATTTTTTTGAATGGAGAAAATTAAAACCCCGATCTAAAAATTAGCTTATAGTCAGTATATTTGTATTAAATGATTTTTATTATAAATAAAAATTATGTTAAAATTTTATAAGTGGAGATTAAAATGATCATTTTTTTTAATATAGAATAAAAATTAGATATTTTAAAAATAAGATGGAATAAAATAAATAAAAGTTAGAAAAATAATAGAAATTAGAAAGGTAAAAATAGTATTTAGACGGAATAATAAATGGTAATAAAAATTAAAAATTTAAAACAGAAAATGAAAATTTGTAATAAGGCGAATAATTTGACCAAGCGATTGTGAGCTGTCTCCACCTTACCTTCTGAGGTCAGTGTTGGGTACAATACAATTAACCGATTAATTAATGAATTGTACTATATAGAAATAATAAAAAAATAATAAATTCTGAATTTGAGACCATTGTCCACCCTATTTATTTTGAATTTTTTAATATATTTTAAAATTCAACCCTAACACTTTTAAAAATAAATATCCATCTTTACCATTAATTTTTTTAAAGTTAAATTAATAAAAATAAACATATATATAAAATTAATTATTTATTTATTTCATGTTTTTTTGGTAGGGTAACTATGAATGAACAAATTTTATTTAAAAATATAAATTCAAATTATTAATAAATATGCTCCATTTTATTTATTTTTGGTGGAATTTAAATTTAAAATTAAAATGGAATAAAACTCAAAAATATATATAGACTAAAATAGTATTTTAGTCATGTTATTACATGTTATCATTAATATTTTTAAAAATCAATTATTTTTATAATTTAATTAAGATTTTAATGATATTAAAAAAAGCTTAAAATAAAATACTTGGGAAGTGGGCCCAGGTGACTATTATAAAATAAAAAATAAAAAAAATAGTACACCTATTTATTTGTTGAAGTTTTTTTTTTAATTTTTAAAATTTTTTAAAATCAAAATACACAATTCTTACTCGACCATACGTACATTCTGATTCTGTAGTGAGCAAATTCCCAATTTGAAAACGAATAATAATAAAAAATATATATATATTCTGAGAGGCGTGCAGAAATTATAGTGTGCTATTTTTTTTTTTCTTTAACCACTGACGTACACGGATGCATAAAACTTTTGTTCTAGCTGATGGGCATGTTTATTTTCGCTTCGAATTCCGATTTTTTTTTAATGTTTTAGGTTGATTTGATTTTGCACCGCTCGTATCAAACAGAATCTGTGATGTTAGATCAACGAGTGGAACGTTTATCATGTTCAAATGGATAGAGATAAATTATCTGAGCATTAAATGATTCGGTAGCCCTGATTAATGAACAATCCATTAAACTTCATTGTGATTTGAGCGCTTTGTTTTTTGATTTATGTTTTTCGTAATATAAGCCATTGCTCTTTTTTTGAAGAAACAGATATCATTTCCTATTTCGCAAGTGGTGGTCTCAGCGGAATAGCGTTTTGGTTTTTGTATCTCAGAGGGCGAAAGGAAGGTTTTGGAGTTTCAATGGCGCGCGAATTTGGAGGAATATGCGCGGGTTTTCGGTCAATGGCGATGACGATGTTCAACTTTGCCATAGCGTTGGCTATGGTTTCCGCTGAGAGAAAAATGAAGCTCGAAACGGCGAGGTTGGACGGAGATGGAGGTTCCGATGATTTGAATCTGATCCGAGGAGCTTTGAATTTCTTGTGGCAATCGGACAGAACGGGGTATCATCACGTTTGGCCTGTAAGTTACAACAAGAACCTGTATACCTCTCTATTCATGTAGATTTACACAAAAATCCTAGTGCAATCAAATTTGTTTTGTTTGCGTTTACTCTTCTTCGGAAATATATTTTTCAGGATCGCGTACTCCTGCTCGCAGATTCTCTAACCATCTCAATGCTTCTCGAACTTAATTTTGAGCTGCTAGGCTAGAATAAATCTTGGTGTTGGAATGTTCAACTCCTCGTGTTCATGGATGGAGTTTTCGTCATTTCGGAACTTTTTCTTTGGAAAAGCTTCTGAAATTCTCATGATTAGGCTTTGTCTCGGTTTAGATCTAACTCATTGTGCACATTTTTTTTGGATTGTTCATAGTTTCGATGTGAAAATGGAATCCTGCTTCATAAAATCTTTTCATCTGTGAATTTTCCGGTGATTTCATTGAAGATCATGCTTTGGACTCTCGAATAAGATCTTTAAAAAATCATATTCAATGTTTTAAAAGGCATTGAGCTTTAGCTTCTGCCAAAACTATAGTTTATTCAAGGTCATATGCTTCGATGATAAACAAATTCATCGAATAAACAAAGCCAGCTTTATAATAACAATCATTATATCTTATAATACACGATTTTATGTTTTCATTACAGCTTCTCAAGATTTTCACCGCAAATTTTTTACTACTCACGAGTAAAGTAGATGGACTAATAGTATATTATAATCTTCTTTACAGGAAATGGAATTTGGGTGGCAGATTGTATTGGGTTCTGTTATTGGATTTCTGGGTGCTGCATTTGGGAGTGTAGGAGGCGTTGGTGGTGGGGGAATTTATGTTCCTATGCTTAGTCTAATCATTGGGTTCGATCCGAAGTCATCGACAGCTATATCAAAATGTATGGGGAATGATCTTTACTCTATCAAACCAACTCCTAAATGCCACAACAACAATGTTTTGATGACAGAAACAGAAGCAAGATCGATTATTTTCTTCTCTTCAAACTACGTAAATCGATCTTGCTTTATCATTGTTGTTGTGGCATTTAAGGTACAATAATTGGTGTCTGAACATTTTGATCGTGACATTTAAGAGTATAGCACTCAAGGATTTGCTCTTAATGTGTCTAACTTGTGTAATCCTCCTTGTTTCGTTTGTTTGCTAAAGGTATGATTATGGGAGCATCAGTATCAACCGTCTACTATAATCTTAAGCTAAGACATCCAACACTTGATCTTCCTATCATTGACTATGATTTGGTGCTGCTTATCATGCCTATGCTCATGCTGGGCATCAGCATTGGGGTAGTTTTCAATGTCATATTTGCTGATTGGATGGTCACTGTCCTCCTCATCGTTCTCTTCTTAGGTAATGATGTAGAGATGCATCTTCTTAACTTCATAGTTCATTCCGAATGGCTTTCTGCTATGTTTATCCTCTGGCTGATCTGCGTGTTCTGCAGCTACATCCACGAAATCGTTTCTTAAGGGAGTTGAAACTTGGAAGAAAGAAACTATAATGAAAACGGTTATCTCTATAACTTTAATCTTCAATATTATGGTTCAAATAAAATGTATGGTCTATCTTTCTAACAATTGGATGTCACTTGTTTTCAATTTTAGGAGGCTGCTAGGCGTGCTGAATCAAATGGTGAGTTAATCTATTGTTAATCATATCGAAATGGTGGCAATCCTTGTTCTTATTTTATACTCCACACTTTTTTACATTAGATCTTCAAGCCAATACAGCATATGCTCCTCTTCCTAGTGGCCCGAGCCAACGGCCCGAATTGGACCTTGATCGAGAGGTAAGATCATTCCTAGTCATATATGATACCAGAAATGGGAATGTTGAATTGGGATTACCTTATGATTTATTATTATTACAATAAATGGGTACGAGAATTTGAGAAATACATGTTCGTTACTATTGAGCTAAGTTCAGATACTATAATAAACCCCTTGATTTGTTAAAAAATTGATCAGAAATAAGAACAATGAACTGTTGAAATGGCAGGTTCCAATGCTGAAGAATGTGTACTGGAAAGAAATGGGACTTTTTGTATTAGTTTGGGTTGCTTTCCTAGCGATCCAAATTATCAAGGTATTTGGATTCTTTCCCCTTCTCCGTTCTCTCTTTATTTTGCAGTCTTAATAAACTGAAACCCATCAATCTCCTATTGAAAACAGAAGCATTCACCCAATTGTTCATGGGAATACTGGCTACTCAACTTACTGCAGGTAAGTTCGCTGCTCCCTTTACAAATTCTCATGTGCCTTTTCTGGTTGATTTCTCTTACAGTTGACCCAAAATTGGTCTACAGATGCCAATTGCCTTTGGTGCATCTGGCTATGAGGCAGTTAGCTTGTACAAAGGACGGAGAAAAATTGCTTCTCTGGGAAATCAGAAGACTAACTTTCAAGTTTCCCAGCTTGTTCTATATTGCTTCTTGGGCATAGTGGCCGGAGTTGTTGGCGGCCTTCTTGGCCTTGGTGGAGGATTTATAATGGGACCCCTGTTTTTGGAGCTCGGCATTCCCCCGCAGGTACATATCTCAACCTCTACCTTCATTTATTATTATTATTTATTTTCTTTTTGTAATAGAGTTCTATAGCATATATATATATATATAGGTAAAATTAACAAATTTATTAAACATAAAATTCAATTATATCTAAACTAATAATGTGAGAGTTTATTAGACACGAAATTTAGAGATTTATGAAACAATTTCTTTTTATGTTTTGATAGTAAAGGCGTATTATGGTTTGTTACATTTGATTTGGATAATTATACATTGAAAATATATATATTTCACATCCATATTTTTTAAATTATCTTCTATGAAATAAAATTATGGAACCACGGCTGCTTTACTCCCTGACTTCAATCATTTCCAACTTTTGGTCCTTTGACTAGTGGGACCCATTCATTGAACGTTTTGATATTATATTATTAGTTTAATTACGAAGGCAGCACTCTCCTGTGTAATATATTTTCTTTTATTTTGTGGTTGTTGACATATTCAACATTTTAAATTAACGGTCGAATTTAATTTTATGTTCAATTCAGTAAATTTTTAAATTTATTAAATATGATTAGACATCTCATTTAAATTTAAATTTGAAAGACTTATTTGAATTGAGGTTTATTAGACACTTTCGACTGGATATAAAATTATTAAAATTAAAAAATCTATACATTTTTTAATTTCATTAACTAAATTTTGTAATTTTTAATTTTTTTTAGATAGTTCCTTTCATTTTTTCACTTTTTTTTTTTAATTTGATTTTTCTTTTTTTATTGTTGGAGGATGAGTTAACATTATTAAATTAGGATATTTGAGACATTAGAAATAATATCAAAGTTAAACTTTTATTCCCTTTACTTTGTAGGTATCGAGTGCTTCAGCAACCTTTGGAATGACATTCTCTTCGTCCATGTCCGTTATACAATACTATCTACTAAACCGTTTTCCCGTTCCTTATGGTAAATCAATTCCATCATTAAACACATTTTTTTCTAATACTTTCTTTATGTTAAGAGTGAAAAAAAAAAAATCATATCGGTTAAGAAATAGAGCCCTATGATATATATGTGAAAATAAGTATCGAAACTTTTAATACGGAACTAAAAGCAAAATCAAAGTGGATAATATCTCTAGTGAAGTATCTATCATTCTTAGTACTTCCGAGATAACCACACCTATAATCTAGGTAAGAAATTTCAAAAGTTTTCGATCCGATTGAGGGACTAAACAAGTTGTAATGTTGCAGCTGTTTACTTCACCATTGTGGCCGCAATAGCTGCATTTGTTGGACAACACGTAATAAGAAAACTGATCAACTTGATTGGAAGAGCATCCTTAATTATCTTCATCTTGTCCTTCACAATATTCGTCAGTGCAATTTCTCTAGGTGAGAACCATATCCAACCAAACTGCTTCATCCCATTTCCTCTATTATGATTAAATAAATAAATATATCTTAAATGGTTTGTGGTTTTGTTTGGTAGGTGGCGTTGGAATCTCGAAGACGATTGGACAAATTCAGCGTCACGAATACATGGGCTTCGAGAATTTGTGCAAATACGACGCATAAGGTTTGGCCTTTCGGGAAAAAGTAATATGATTTACTTAATGTTTTCAGGTTCTTATGATTATTTTGGAATTTTAGTCTCTTAAATTTGATGGCTAAGATGATAAATTTTATTGATTCGCATCGATTATAGGATTGTTTTATGGGCTGAAGAGCCTAGACGTGTTTAGTAAAGCTCGAGAAAAGGTGAGCTTCACGTTTCTGTGCACTTGGGTGTGCTCGAATGTAGATTTTATATATGGAATTGTGGAATTTATTTAATACGCTTTTATTTGATGTTTTAAAAGTAAAATAACTCTAACTTTTGTCGGGTTTAAATTTAGTATTTAGGATTCAAAATAAGATGATCAAAGTCTCGTGTTTAGAAATTACTCGACTTGAGTTCTATGAAAGAGAGTAAAATGAAAACGATCATAAAAGATGAAGAAAAAGAAAGACCTAACACAAATGCGGACAAGACCGATTACATTGACTTGTGAATCAAAATTGAGCACTTTACTAAATGTTAGGGACTTGTCCTATTTTGAAGCACGAGATCTAACTTCGCTCAACTTTCAAAACTCACATGCAAACGTTTGCTTGTAACTATTCAATATCCTCACGAAAAATTAATTGCATTGGAGCGTTTCTGCGGTCGAATCCATTTTGAATTTGATAAATGCATTGCTTGTGAAGTATGTGTTAGTGTAAGTCCTATAGATCTCCCCGTTGTTGATTGAAAATTGGAAATGTATATTCAAAAGAAACAATTGCTTAATTACAGTATTGATTTCAGGATCTATACATTTTGTGGTAACTGCGATGAATATTGTCCAACAAATTGTTTATCGAGAACCAAAAAAGTATTTTATTCATATTTTAATTAAGATTCTTAAAAATAATATGAGCGAATGGTAATCTAAAGGATGTGTAAAGTTGAAGACGAGCAGTTTAACTAGCTAATTTTGCAGTGTATAAATCGGTATCGATTTAATTCCAAAAAATACCAATCAACCTCGATTATCAATTATAGACGGCAAATAAGTTGCGGCAAATAGATAACAACATAATTTGCTACGCTAAAATAACAAAAAAAATTTACCACCTTATATGATTAGGTTACTACTAACTCAAAAATTAATATTAAAACATGATTTTTGTAATCGAAGTTTGAAAAAAAATAAAAAATACTAAACTAACGATAGTTGCACGACGGATCGTGATAACAATTTAAAATATAAAATTTTAAAAAAATAATAGAACAAAATTATATTCAAACATATAAAAAAAAATAGATATAAAATCAATTAAGATTAGAATATTCCATTTACACTAAGATTATCATTATAAATTTAGTTATAAATTTGTAAAAGATATATGAATATCAAAACGTGTCAAATATGAACATTTAATGTAATTTCATATTAATAATTTTAAATTGATAGGTCAAATATAAAAATATGAAAATAAAAAATTGAATATTATATTTAAAAAACCTTAGTAAATCTATCAATATTTAAAAATATTTAAAATAAAATTAGATACAAAATTGGAAATTGAGAGGTCTATTACCATTTATTAGAGTCTGAAATGACGGATTGACTTAAATTTGAAAGTTTTAAGGACTCAACTTTAATTTAATAAAATATTATTCTACGCTATCCTGGAATATCAGCGTCCGATCAAAGATTCAAAATCACACGCAACCCAGACGACCAATCTCTCTTCTTTCCTCGAATTGAAAACCCTAATTCATTCTGTTCTCTCCATTTTCGAGGGTTGAGCGAACGAAATCGAAGCACCATGGTTTACTATTTCAAAGCCCGGCCCGACGTCGGTGATTACTCCATTTTCATGGGGCTCGACAAGTACGAGAACGAGGAGCTTATCAAATACGGCTTCCCCGAGGATATTTGGTAATCTATCGTCTAGCTCTCTTTATTAATTTCTGATTCTTTCACGGATTGTTATTTGATGTCAATTTCATTGAGATATGGTTGAAAATCATTTCTCACGATCAATCCAGTCGGGTAAAAGTGCTTGCGTTCACGTTATCGCCTGATGTCTTTGGAAATTGGCATTTGATGTCGAAGTTCTATAGATTTTCGTGGTTGCTATTTTCTGTGATTTAACAGAGCTTTATAAAACTGGAAATCAACAGAGCTGAAGGATGTCTTGCGGATTATGAAGGGAATGAGTTTCTTCTCTTTATTGAATTCTTGAATTTTCGTTGCACTAGCGTTCTTTAGCCATGCAGGACCCGAACTTATCGTCTTGTCTGTTTTGTGGCTTTAAGAATTCAAGGTTATCTTTAGTCTTATTGTGAGATCTCATGTCGGTTGGAGAGGGGAACGAAGCATTTCGTATGAGAGTGTGGAAACATCTTCCTAGCATACGTGTTTTAAAACCGTGAGGCTGATGGTGATACGCAACGGGCTAAAGTGGACAATAATTGCTAGCAGTGGGCTTGAGTTGCTACAAATGGTCAGAGCCTGTCACCGGACAGTGTGAGACATTGGTTAGAGTAGGGCTAGACCCTCTCTATAGTATACGCGTTTTAAAACCTTGAGGGGAAGCTCGGATGGGAAAGCCTAAAGAGGACAATATTTGATAGTGGTGGGCTTGTGCAACTACAAATGGTATCGGAGTCAGACATCGGGTAGTGTGCCAGTGAGGACGCTGGGCCCCAAGGGGGTAGATTGTGAGATCCCATATCGGTTGGAGAGGGGAACGAAACATTCCGTAAGGGTGTGGAAACCTCTTTCTAGTAGACGCGTTTTAAAACTGTGAGGTTGATGATGATACGTAATGGGCTAAAGCGGACAATGTCGGCTAGCGGTGGGCTTGGGTTGCTACACTTATTTGCGGGCTTCCTTCATCTTGTATCTGGTCTGATTTGTAGGGAGGACTTAGCTTAAGATTTTTTCTCTGAGCAAAGGTTGTCTTGTGCAGGTTCCACGTAGACAAGATGTCATCTGCTCATGTTTATGTGAGACTGCAAAAAGGGCAGACCATTGATGATATTAGTGAAGGGTTGCTGGAGGATTGTGCTCAGCTTGTCAAGGCAAATTCCATTCAAGGTAGAATTTGAGCAGTCTATTTCTGTAGAATAGAAAAATATTAGCCTTTGCGTTGTGAAATGTTAGTGAACGAGGTTTGTCTGCATGTTCGTTCTTAAATTAAACCTTAAAAATACACGCGCGTGTTTCGGTAGACGACAGCAGAATTGTGTCACGAGGTAGAAGCTATTGACTATTGTCTGTTTTATCTGACAGGAAACAAGGTAAACAACATTGATGTCGTGTATACACCTTGGTCCAATTTGAAGAAAACTGCTTCCATGGATGTTGGCCAAGTTGGTTTTTATAACCCCAAGATGGTAAGCTACGTTGTTTTCGACTGGCTAGTGGATATATCCGTAAGAATTCAAGGTGATTTACGAACATTTGTCTTTATACACAATTCAGGTCCGAACTGTAAGGGTGGAAAAACGGATCAACGACATCGTAAATAGATTGAACAGGACTAAAGTGGAAAGGAAGCCTGATTTAAAAGGTAAATTAGAAATGAATTTTTTGTTGTTAGGATACAATATGAAATTACACTTTCTTGAACCAATGTTTCCAAAGTATGTTGTTTCTATTCCTAGCACGTCTCTATGCACCCCTAAGTATGAAGTTTGCATATTTTGTGTTTTTTTCCCCCCTTTTCGCTACGGAGGGAATGAAGTAATTTTCTAGGCATACATGATACATGGAGGGAATGAAGTAATTTTCTAGGCATACATTATACATAAAATGTATCAAAGTCATCCCATCTTCCCATGCACCCGAACTCGTTAAACAGTTTACAAGCACTTCGTTTTCCATTATACAGCCGAACGTGAAGCAGTGAATGCAGCTGAAAGAGCGGAGAGGAAGCAACACCTGAGAGAAAAGGTTGGTAACAATTTTTTTGTCCCGTCTCTGAAATAACTCCTTCATTTAGGTCTACATCTTGGACTTCTATGTTTTATCTTTCCTGAAATTATTGGATAGATAGTTTGCCCTTGTCTGTACATCAGAATTACTCTCTTGTAAGAATCTAGTTCGATATATTAACTGGTTATTATTTTCTCCTAGTTGATATGTATGGCACGAGCCTCGACTCGCATAAGTGTTTATCTAGCATATTTGTGTGTAAACGTTCTAGCATAAGTGTCTAAAAAAGCTGGTGTGAAAAGCTCCATATTTGTGTATTAACATTCTTGCTCTAGCATTATACCGCACTTCATAATCGTTATGCGTCGCAAGTTCAGAAGTGTTTATCTAGCGATTATATTTTAAGATATGTTTTTGGTCATTTGGTAGCAAATCTATTCGTCAGACATGGTGGTTTTGCTAGATGGTTTCCATAAAGTATTGTTACAGTAAACTTCCCTTTTTTGCAGAAACGACGTGAGGAACTGGAAAGGTTAGAAAAAGAGAGGCAAGCAGAGTTAAGGAGCTACAAGGGTTTGATGGTCTCTGAGAAAATGACATCTAACAAACAGATTGCTGCAACAAGCAAATCGCTAGAAGAGCTGGAGGACGATTTTATGTGATCGAATTGATCGGTACGAATGCTGCAAGAAATAGAAATTTGCTTTTCTTGGCCCGAAGTTGTTCTCTCGTACGTGATCAAATTATTGTGTTTAGGCTCGATGACGTCCAACTTGTTGTGTCTACCTGATGAGACGACTATACAAATAGAAATTTGCTGTGGGTTTCTAGAGAGCGGATTTATGGTGTTTATGCAAGTTGTAATTACTTTTACTCTTGTTTAATGATTATAAGTTAGCTCATTTTGGCCTACTTTTCTTCTTTATAAGTTCCCCTGAAAATGAGGAGAAGCCATTTTTTGGGTTCATTTATAAAAAAACGCCCTTAAATTGTGAATTCTGGTTATCCACTAAGAATGAGGAGTGATTTTGCTTTTGGTGGTTCTATTGGTTAAACCCCACACGCCCAATTTCTTCCTGGGCAGGTGAAAAGCTATCATTGAATGCCCCTTTGGTTTTGCCTTTCACAAAAGTAAATCGTACTGTAAAAGCCATTAGCTTTCCTCTTCCTTTTTCTTCTGTTTCATTTTATTAATGCTTTACTCTGTTTCTCTTCTATAGTCTTTCAGTTAGGTAACATTCATATATATGCTCAAGTTTAATGGTAAAGATCCCAACTGAGTTGGAGAGTGGAATGAAACAACATTTCTTATAAAGATGTGAAAATTTCCCTTGCGAGATTCTACATTGGTTTGAGAGATTTCTGATAAAGATGTGGAAACCCCTCCGGGACTAACGTCTTTGTGACACACCGTCCGATATTTAACTTTGATATCATTTGTAACATCGATATTTAACTTTGATATCATTTGTAACATCCAAAATCCATGACAAATATTGTCATCTTTGGAGTCTTCCATTCTGTACTTCCCCTCAAAGTAAGGTTTTCTTTGGACACCGTCCGATATTTAACTTTGATATCATTTGTAACATCCAAAATCCATGACAAATATTGTCATCTTTGGAGTCTTCCATTCTGTACTTCCCCTCAAAGTAAGGTTTTCTTTGGGCCTTCTATTTTATGCTTCCCCTCAAAGTTTTAGTTTTAAAACGCCTCATTTTCTAGGCTTTCTATTTTAGACTCCCCTTTTAAATTTTTAACCAACTGAATTATATCAACTGTTTGGTTCCAATTTTCTCCTTTTTTTTATTTATTTTTTTATTTTTTTATTTTATTATTATGGTAAACTTAACCCCTAATTCTAAGGGGTTGTATATCTTTTCATCCATCTATAATTATTATTTTTTTCTAGATTCAATTTAAATAAAATTACTATTCTTCCCACAATTATACTAGAGTTATAAAAATTATTACGTGATTCTTCTTAAATAAGTAATAAATAAATAAATAAATAAATAGATAAGACAAAAAAAAATTGCTCGAAACTGTTGCTATCAATTTGAATTTAATTTAATTAATGCATTTAAAGAAGTGTTTTATAAATAATCCATATTGATTTTTTTAAAAAAATAAAAAAGTTTATATATAAATTAATTATTTTTATAATAGGATGAAACAAAGTATGACGGAGTTCGCTTCCGGTTAAGACTTGTCGTTTACTGCAACCATTACACGTAAACACTGTCGGTAGTACGACATCCCTGGTTTACACGTGTCTAAATCCTCACCGTTCAATTTCCGAACGTGCAGTCATCTTAGCCGCTGGTTTTGAATCACTTTAGGCCGCCCCTTTATGTTTGAATAAAGCTCCAGACCGTTTAAATTATCGTTTCCGAGTCCTGGCCATTTCTCTCTCGCTACTGGTTCCTCTATCTCTTTGCTTTGGCGCATTCTCTCGTTCTCCAAATCAAATTTCTACTCCTCGATTTCTCTATCGAGATTCGTTAATGCGTCCTGTTTCGATCGCTGCATCGAGTTTCTTGTTTATCTGCACTTTGCTGCTCGACGCCGACGCCGGTGAGTTCTTTAGGGTTTCTTTGGTTAATCTTGTTAAACTTCCGTTGATTTCATGATCTTCGCGTCGGCTTAATATTTTTCGCTTTCGTTCGTAGTTTCTTAGGTATTTCGGTCCATTTTTGTGAACTCTTTAACCTTTTTTCCATCTTATTTTGAGTGATTTACCTTCTGAACTCTATGAAATGTTCTCTATCATATCCTCGTCGTAGTTTCAGTCTATTCACGCTTAGGTCGTGTTTGTTTTCCGTTTCTGGAGTTCGATCATGTAATTAGTCTTCAATCTGATCCTTTTCACTGTTGGCGTGGAAATTGAATTTTTGTTAAGTCGCTCATCTGTTGTTTGTTGCTTACATTCTCAATAGGCTCTTAGCCTTCATTCTCGTCGTTTTGAGGTTTGTAGTATGGTGAATATGTTTTGATGTAAGTGTTCTGCCTTGAGCGAGTTTGATCGAGGATTGATAGCTTATATTTCTCTCTGTAGCTGGATTCAATCGTTAGACCTTTAAGTTTCTTTTCTTGATATGGATTTAGACTCGTTGTAGTAGTTATCTTTGAATCGTGAGGCCTTTTTTTCTCTCGTAGCGTGAACTTCGGGAACATCGATACACATTCATTTTGCTCCTGGATGAATATCAGATTTTGTATGTTTCACATCAGTTACTGTAAAAACACTGCCTAAAGGAACTTTGACCGAAGTTATATCCAGTCTGTCCCACGGCTAATTTACTATATCATCGTTCCAAAGATATTGTTGAGCTCAGATTATATACCGCTTTGAAATACTAGGATTTACTTTACTGGAACTAATGTTTTTTTTTGGTTTGATTCTTGCGTCTGCATAATGATTATGCACATGTATATTACCGCAACAGCCGCATGTTTTGTTTTTTCGTACTATTTCTTTTGTTCCACTACCTGCATATTTTGACTTTTTATCTTCCATGATCAGAAATTTTTATATGAAATGGTAGAATTTTCTACATTGGAATGATATAATGGTCTGGATAGAATTCTTTGGAACAAGTCATTGCCGAGTAGGAATTGGGATATTATGCATTTTCCCCTCCATGTCAAGGAGTTATGGAAGGTGATAAGACCATCTCAACACCTTCAGACAAACCTGAGATTCGTGATCAGAGGATACATGCTCTCCATGGGTAACTTCATTTATCTATCTAAGCAGTTCTAATGCTTTGGCTCTACATTTCTTCATACTGCAAGTTTTAGCCTTTCTGTTTGCACGTTACTGATGCATTGTAAGTCTTGCAAGTCTTCTTAACCAAATTTGTCACCATAACTCATATAAGCACTGTTTCAATTGCAATATTTTTTAATCCTGTTACATTATTTTCCTTAAAAAATTTCCTTGGCTTCCTTTAGTTTGGAGAGGAATTACCTATCACTAACTAGCTTGTTGTAATTCTGTTTTTGACGACTTGTAATTTTCCTGTCTTTCTTCTTATTTTCCCTGAGAGGTTGTAATTTGATTTCCATTGGTTCAACTAGAAATGTTTCCCTTGTTGTGGTTTTATGTCTGAATTGACTTTATGTCCTGTACCACACATGTTCCTATACTATTGCTTGACATTCACATTTGTTGCCCTTCTTGGAAGACGTAAACTAAATTCTCTGTTGAACGCTATGTATGTTCTTTTTGGGGGATGTTTAGGAGAACCAGTGGCCCTACAAGACGTTCAACAAAGGGACAGTGGACACCTGAAGAGGTAAGTTTATCATTTATCTTAGTGAGATCCTATACTTTTCATTATTCTGGTTTCTGGAAAGAATGATGCTGTTTTTCTTGGGGGGGGGGGGGGGGGTGATGAAGAATTGTATTTCGAATGAATTTTGTTGTTCCAAAAGTTAAATGTTTGATGGATAAATCTTTTTTTACTCGCATCCAGGATGAAATTTTGCGGCAAGCAGTTGATCATTTCAAAGGCAAAAACTGGAAGAAAATAGGTATTATTGGCGTGTGGAAATATTGTAGAGGCCAAGAATAGGTTGTATTGTACTGAAGATGTTCTCCATATGAGTCATTCTTAACACAATGGAGGATTTCAGCAGTGATTGTGATCTATGAACATAGTTCATGTTTGCTTTATCTATTGTAAAGTATACTTAACTCTACCAAATTCTATTCTGGATAATTAGATGACCTAATTAATTGTGCTTTGTCAAGGAGGCCATATTCCGTGATAAATTATATTTTGCATGAACTACTATGTTCTTTTATTGCATCACTGGTTCATTTGTTATGATGGTTGTTTGTAGCTGGATGTTTCAAGGATCGGACTGATGTACAATGTCTACATAGGTGGCAAAAGGTTTTAAACCCCGAGCTTGTCAAAGGTCCATGGTCTAAAGAGGTGGTCCGCTTGTGAAATTTCTGTTATTACGATAATTTAATCAACATACTCTTTGTATAAGTGTGCTATTTTTATGAAATTATAATTGAGCTTCTTGTTTGTCTTGTGAATTGTATATAGGAGGATGAAATTATCATTGAACTGGTGAACAAATATGGACCAAAAAAGTGGTCTACATTTGCAACTCATCTACCTGGACGTATTGGTAAGCAATGCCGAGAAAGGTATGACAATTGATTTATTTTCTAGCTGATTTTTTAGATTTTGATTTTCCCGTTTTACATATTATCCCTTTGATGAACCCCGCCTGTTGAAAGTTTCTTTTCTGGAAGCCATTATATATTGTGGTGTCATCAAGTTGAACTTTTCCTGCATTCGTACTCGATGTTCTATTAAACTTTCAGCTGTCTTTCCCATATTATTTTACATATATTATTTCCTCTTTTTCAGGTGGCACAATCACCTCAATCCTAAAATAAACAAAGAAGCATGGACCCAAGAAGAGGAGTTAGCTTTAATTCGTGCTCATCAAATTTATGGGAACAGATGGGCAGAGCTAACGAAGTTCTTACCTGGAAGGTATGTCTCATATGTAGCTTAAAGTTGAGGCATTATGCGGGTTGTTATACATGTGCATTATTTTATTCCTATAAATCTTTTCAGATTAAAGTTGTTACCATCTAAACTTTTTTGGATTTCTTTTCATTGCAGCTTTATTCTCTAGAACTATATTTCCTTCCAGTTTTTAATCGGAAAATTTTCACTTCATCATGAATTATGTTATATTTGTGCTTTTATGATCATTAGGACAGACAATGCCATAAAAAACCACTGGAACAGTTCTGTCAAAAAGAAATTGGATTCTTACGTGGCCTCAGGCTTGCTCACACAATTTCAAGATCCAATACCCGCTGGACAACCAAGCCAACTCCCAGTTTCATCTTCGAAAGTGCTTGGTAGTGGAAATGACAGTGGCTTAAATGGAATGGATACAGAGGAGATTTCAATGTGCAGTCAAGATCCATCGGTTGCTGATAGCTTTATGAGTGATTCAGCATGTGCAACTCTGCACAAGAGAGAGGAATTTCAGTTAGCTGAGGATTTGGAGTTGGGAAAGGAGCAAAGTATCAGCCCAGTATCCAGTTCTCAACCCTATTACCCTCCTACGGAAGTAATTACTTGTCCCATTGCTGAGTTTGCTCAAGAAGTGGGTCGCTCTTTATCACCTTCAGAGAAAAATCTCTCTGATTGTAGAACATCTTCAAATAGGGAGCACCAATGTGATTTGAATGAGTTTCCTTGCATCTCGTTACAGTTGGGTATGGAAGTATCGCAGTTTAAGGCAATTGGCACTAGGATGGGTGAAAGTCATGGAGCTTCCGGTTCTGCTCAAACTTGTCCCATTGCTGAGTTTGCTCAAAAAGTGGGTCACTCTTTATCACCGTCAGAGAAAAATCTCTCAGATTGTAGAACATCTTCAAATAGGGAGCACCAATGTGATTTGAATGAGTTTCTTTACATCTCCTCGTTACAATTGGGTATAGAAGCATCGCAGTTTAAGGCAATTGGCACTAGGATGGGTGAAAATCATGGACCTTCCGGTTCTGCTCAAACTTCTTCAATGATAAAAGGAGCTGCGGCCTCTGCCCAAGCAGAGTGCATGTTTATATCTGATGATGAGTGTTGCAGGGTCCTATTCTCAGATGCAAAAGGTGACAGATGCGATCTGACTAGTAATCTTAAAGAAGGCTCTTCTGTGTCAGAAATGTGTGATTACAAAGTTCCAGTTCATTCCTTTAGCACTCCAAAAGTTGGAAATAACCATGCCATAGCTTCACAAATACTTAATCCTCCTCCAGGAACTGATGTGCAGGAAAAAAATTCCGTGCACCAGTCGGGCATGCCGATTCCATCCACGGTTTCTATCAACAATGACATGATTTTATTAGGTGGTACTGGACCCAACCAACCATTTGTTGGAGCTCTAGAACACGGATGTGTAACTAGCCAACAGAATGCGTTTGCCTATAATGGTGGATCATCCGAGTCTTCCTATTTTGAGGTTGCAGATAACCCAGAAATGCAAGAACAGCCTGGTGGAGCAGAAGACCTGCCAAAACCAATGTGTATAAATACATTTGCTACAGCAGCAGATGTCACTGGTACTTGTTCTCATTCGGATGAAAGAGTAAAACAAAATGACGAACATCGAGACTCCGGTGCTCTTTGTTATGAGCCTCCTCGTTTTCCTAGTTTAGATGTTCCGTTTTTCAGCTGTGATCTCATACAATCTGGAAGTGAAATGATGGAGTACAGCCCACTTGGTATACGCCAGTTGATGATGACTTCTCTAAATTCTGTTACTCCATTCAGATTATGGGATTCACCATCTCGTGATACTAGTCCAGATGCTGTACTGAAAAGTGCTGCCAAAACTTTCGCCAGTACTCCATCCATTTTGAAGAAACGCCACCGTGATTTAATGTCTCCTCTTTCTGAAAGAAGAATTGACAAAAAGCTGTTAACCAATGTGACATCTAACTTGACAGAAGAGTTTTCACGTTTGGATGTTGTGTTCAATGATGTGTCTGATAAAAGGAGTATTGAAGGTTCTGCTGAAGATAAAGAAAATGTTTATTGTACCTTTGAAATGAGAGAAGAGAAGAAAGATGACGGTAACGAATCTCGAGACGTAACGCTGTCGGAGAATAATTTTTCAAAAAGTTCTTCCCAAGACTATACCAAACAAGCGACTGCTGATACCGAAATTGTGAGTCGTTTTTTAGCGATCTTTTTATTGCTAAACTATTTTGAGTGTATTGAACGAACGATCAAATTTACTTGATATCCGATTAAGCTGATAATTTTACTTTTGGCAGGTACCTCCTAGAGTCCTGGCTGAACATGATGCGAATGACCTGCTACTCCACACTGTTGAGCAAAAACCACTCAGTTCAAGTACAAGAATTAAGAAACAATACAGTCCAAGCAGATTAGTAGACGATGTTTCGAAGGTGTCCAATGGGAATTCTCATGGGCTACCTTGCAGCAGCCCGCCTTCCATCTGCGGGAGACCTGAAATTGATGAAACTCCATTTAAGAAAAGTATTGAATCCCCTTCAGCATGGATGTCTCCTTGGTTCTTCAATTCTTTCCTACCTGGCCCGAGGATTGATACGGAAATATCGATCGAGGTAATTATTTAGATTGGATGAGAATTTTTTGAAATTGAACTTTTTTTACCATTGCATCAAATTGTTGTGTATTTGTGTTCATTATATAGGACATTGGATACTTTTCGAGCCCCAAGGGAAGAAGCTTTGATGGCTTAGATGCAATTGGGTTAATGAAACAAGTAAGCGAGCTAACGGCAGCTGCATGCGCCAACGCCCATGAGGTGTTGGGAAATGAAACTCCAGAGACACTACTCAAGGGAACGCGCAAGAAGCACCCATCTCCATAGCGATGAAACTCTTATGGTATGATTCTCTCCGACTTTTCCTTTCTTCAACCTTCTAACATCAAGTTTTCAGGAAAAAAAGAAGTTTTTTTTTTTTTAATTTTTTTTTTATTTTTACATTTCTTAAGAAAATTACATAAATGACCGAAAATTAATATTTTTGATAAACCTCATCTAACTCTAATTTGTAATTTAACTATTTTAACGTGGGTCTTAAAAATTAAAGGAAGCAATCTGGGTTTTTTTATAGCATGTGAAAAATCTACAAGTGTCTTAATTGCCTTGTACCTTACATCTTAACAAGCTTTTACGTATGATCAAAATGAGAATCAAGCATCTTAACAGATTTTCTCTTTAAAAACGCAAATGTGAATATCCTATCGAAAGAGGACAAATAAATCTGGAGATGCTGATAGTTCCCAAGGAGTTTCAGTTTCATAAAAAATTCTTAAAAGGGAGAATATTTATTATCGAACCTGTTCGTCTGTCTGTAGAAAATGATTGGACAATTTATTTTGTCTCAAACCATTATGATTTGCTTGTTCCGGATCCCCTAGAAGTCGTAGAGAGTTCAGAATTCTAATTTATTTCAATTGTTTTAATGTCAAAAATTCTCTTGGTTCTTGAAATTGTTTTTTAAAAATAGGTAACAAAAAGACTTTTAGTTACCAAAAATATTTTTTAGTCTAATTTTACCGGAGAACTAGGTAACTATCTAACAGAGTCAAAAGTAGAGAAAGATTTAATCATTTCGAAGGCAGATTTTTATTAGAAAAGTAGGTCAATTGGCTTGTTTTTGGTTGGTTAGCTCGGCCTATGAAAACAAGATTATTGTAAGCTCGTATGATTTCATTTTTCAGGCAGGGTGTCGGGTGCTCGACTCCAGCGAATGCGGCTCTGCGGGGAAAGTAGAGACTGTGTGTGAAAACTACAGCTGCGACCTCCCTTCCTTATCTTCTCCAAGCCTCCAGATAGCTGCCACCACCCCAACTCGGCATTTTTTCTTTTTCTTATCAACGTCTAAAAGGAAATACTAATACTTGTAATTCTAGATCATTCGTCTGAACTTCAACGAGAAAGCCTTTTTTAGGCATATTACAAAACTGAGATTCTAGAGTCTTCCAGTGAGGGAAGTAACACTTTTTATTTAACGGTAAACGTTAAAAATATAAAATGAGCAATGCGACTTAGACGACACGAGTCACGGCTGCGTGGATTGCATCAGCAAGGTGTGGGACGGTCCTCGAGCTCAAACCGGCCATGCTGATTCTCCTGCACATATGACAGATGTATAAATGTTCTGTTCTTTATTTTTTCACTTCAACTTTTCTGTGCTGGTTTAGTTTTACTTGTGAAATAGCAAGAAAACATAGTGCATAAAAATCAATTTCATGTTTGATAAATGTTCAAATCTATAATAAAATTTTTAACTGCCGACCAATTACACACAAATTGAAAAGACAAAAGATACTAAATTTGCAACTGTTAAAAAATTCATAAATCTCAAAATTCATTTACTAAAACTATTGGGTTAAAAGAATTGCAATCTTTTATCTTTACCAATTCAAACAAATGAAAGATATTAAGAAAAAAAAATTGAACATAAATTTTTTTCTTTGAAAAAAACGAACACACTACAGAAACTAAATTCCAGTGATTGCATACGTGAATGATTGGGCATTTTGGGGAAAATAAAGGGATATTAAAGCAAAGATAAGAGGATTCCTTACCCATCAGAGGTCATGTAAATGTGATATTCTTTGGTCATGAAGCTAACTTGTTCCGAGTTCAATCCTGTGAATGTAAACATTCCAATCTGTTTGATGATGTGACTCCACTCACCAGGTGTACCTGCCACACATGAACGGTGAATAACACTCCCACACAACAAACCCATCTCTCTCAGAACATATGCTCCAATTTTTTATTCAAATTAATCATGGTGAAGGAACAATAAAAAAAAATAAAAAAAATAAATAAAAAAATCTACCCTACTAAGTTAAGAGGTCGAGATTATTAGCCTCGATCAATATGAAGGTTAAAAAAAACAACCATCGATTTTGAATGCAACTACAGTTTAGTTAAAGACGAGGGTCCAAATAAATTAAACTTAAGAGGTCGAGATTATTAGCCTCGATCAATATGAAGGTTCAAATAAACCACCATCGATTTTGGATGAGCTGCAATTCATCACTATTGTTCTAGTTCTTAACTGATAATCTTTGCATTTCTTAATTTATTTGACTTCTAAAACTACATTAGACATGACATGATTAAGATAGATTTTGGGTTAGAACTCAAATTAGAATATTCTTATCATCCACCTTAGCCATTGATCAAAACTGATAGCAAAGAGGCTACTAAGCACTCAGAACGAGAATATTAAAAGAACCGCGTAAATATCAGCAGAGATATCAGAAGAATGCATAATAAGAACAAGAATACTAACCTCGAGCACTCAAGGCGTCAAAAAGTTGCTGGCGCATGCTAATAATACGGTCTGCCATGGCCTTCAACTCAATAGTCCATTCATTGAACAAATCCCTAACGTTGAAACAAAGAAAATAATTTCATGATGCATGAACAGTTAAATCGGTTCCATACAAGTTCTCAGGATTGGAAAGAAAGTCCAGGTGAGCATCTTGCATATATGTTCACCTTCTCAATCTCTGTTACGGGCATATGAGAAGTTTTAATTATTACCTGTCCTTCAGGATTGTAGCGACAATGGATGCCCCATGAATGGGTGGGTTTGAGTACATGGGCCTTATCACTAGTTTCAGCTGGCTCTCTACCCTGCTCGCAACATCAGCATTCTTGCAGACCTGTGCGACAGTTACAAAGCGTAAGATCAAGGCAGTAAAGCTGAAATACCAGCTCAGACCCCATCCCATCCATCTTCATGCTAAAAATATTTTTTTAAAGAAAAAAAATGTTCATCAATAGTAATAATACCATTCTAAATTATATCCTTACCAATTTAGTTAACATTTTTTTTTTTTTTTTGTTAATAATAATACAAAAACGATGCTACGAGGATTATTATATATGTATCCGAGTTAGCCCTCACCCAGCACCTATGAGTTCAATCAACATAGGTTTCAAAAAGCATTTTGAAGCCATATAGCCATTTCAGCCTGACTCCCCATTTTCTCTTAAATCAAGCTGAATGTGGAATGACTCTATTCCTGTGAGCTGTAGAGTTAGTTATCCCTTATCATCCCTGGTATTCCATTCCTCCTCTCTATGAGATGTGGGATCGACCCCGCTCTTTCTACATCCTTTTGTATGATAAGGCATGCCTATCTATCTTTTATCCAGCCTTTGCTCCACTATCAACTACCGGAATGGTTATTTTGCCTGCACCGCTTTCGGAAGGGAAGGGTAACTTTTTCATTCTCTTAGAAATGCTAAGTCAACCTTTTCCTTAGTACTATATTAACAAAAAAGATGTTAATCCCACAGACTCAATTAACCAATGATTCAATCAGTTAAGGTATGCTGTTATATGACATCCCAATGAATCACTAGTAAGAATATTCTTCCAAAAATCTTACAATGCTTAAAGCGCCAACACGTTCACCGTAGAGACCCAAATTCTTTGCGTAACTCTGGGCTACAAAACATTCACCTCCATCGGCAACAAATAAGCGTACAGGTTGTGCATCCGCATCTAGACTTCCACTGGCAAAACCCTGGATCATACAAGGCAAAAATATCAGAAACTTAAACAGCAAGATTGTCTTATTAAGTTCTTGACATGCAAGTCATTTCTCATTTTTTACTATGTAGACCTCTCTACCTGGTAAGCACTGTCAAAGAAAGGTAAAAGCTGTTTCGATCTCATCAACTTCCTGATCTGATCCCATTGTTCAAGGGTTGGATCGACACCAGTTGGGTTATGAGCACATGCATGAAGCAGTACTACGGCTCCAGATGGAGCAGAACCAAGATCTTCCAAGAGGCCTGTGACATTAAATTGTCCACCCCAGTGGTAAGCAATAATAAGGGACTAACATACACAACATCATAAGTTTCCGTAACAAATCATCTTAAATCACTCCTACATAGAATGCCAGGGGCAAAGCAGTGTCGAAGACCATACAAGTTCAGAATTATTTAATTGCGGCACAATTTCCATTACAGATAAAACACATTGGAACTCATTATGGAGGTAGAACCAAAAAAGATACGTTAAACAGTTGAAATAGAGTACAGAGTTCGAACCTTGAAAATCCAACCCTCGTGTAGAGGGATCATAATATCGATAAGTTTTTACTGACAGACCAGCCAGAGTAAAAACTTTGGGATGGTTTCCCCATGTCGGCAGGGGAATGTATATTAGCCGCTGGAAAACAAGAAAAAAGGATCATGAGATAGCTATTACCATGTACAAGTAAAGCCTAAGTACGATAATGGACACCTAAACATTCCACACCTCGTGATAATGTCTCGCCAAAAATTCACCACCGACTCTCAATGATCCAGTACCAGACAAGCATTGAACAGTTGTGACACGGTTCTCAAGAATAGCAGGGCTACATAAAAGTTAGAATTAGATCTAAAAGAAAACTATTAAACGAAAGATGCGGATGTGAGTATAAGCAACCAAATATAAAAGGCAACAACTAGTAAATAAAATTTGGTATAGCTTACCTGTCGGCGCCAAAAATAAGCTTAGCGCTCTGCTTATTGAACTCTGCCAATCCAACAATCGGAAGATACTCCTTAACTCGTGAACTGCAGATCATTAGGATAAGAACCTCAACATCTATCTACATTAAGTAAGATTCTTAAGAGAATGATCAAGAAAATTACCTATCATTAACAAGCTGATGCTCTGCTTTTCTGACAACGTTCAAGACAAGTGGTTTTCCTTCCTATCATATCGAAATACCACAAGATTAAAAAATTTCTAAATAGACAAACGAACCGCTTAGACATCTTAACAGCGACAAGATAGTATAATCAAGCTCCGACTATTTTTAACACCAAAATAGATCAACAGCATCACGATTTAAAGCAACAGATATGTACCTCTGTCCTATAAGCACCGACGCCCAAATTCAACTTGTTCGGGCTTGGATCTTTGTTGAAAGCAACAGTCACCTATCAATTCCAAGTTCAACACAATAATTGATATATATTAGTAAAACTTCCTCCAAAACATCGGATAGATAGACGCAAAATGTGTAAATATGCAACGAATAAACATAGGCGAGAAGTTTTTTGTCCGACAGACATCAAAACATCAGATAGATAGACGCAAATGTGAAAGTATGCAATAAATAAAAACAGGCAAGCAGTTTTTTGTCCGATAGTCATTCTATTCCCTAAAATGATCCTTCAGCGTTTCTAAAGCCATAATAAACAGCTGATAAGCGGAACAATTTCCAAAACACTACAAAATGGCATCGGAAACAACAGTCAACTAGAAAAATTAGGAAAACACATAGCCGCGATCACGATCCACAACCAGCCAACAAAAAACTTCCGATCACGAGGATCCAAAAGCTTGACATAGTTCATTTCCACAATATACGGTAAAATAGAAACAGACAAGTTAGAATCAGACGCAAAAAATTTTAAACTAACAACACGAGAACAAAAGGAAAAAAAACGAAAACGAAATCCTCTGAACTTGCGGGCAAGCAAACAAAACAATGCAACTCGAAATCAGATTAATAGGCAAATCAAGGAAAGAAAAACCTACAACGATTGATCAAAAGACATAGCGATACGGAGAAAGAGAGAGAGAGAGAGAGAGAGAGAGAGAGAGAAAGAGAGAGAGATTACTCCGAGAATAGGATCTTCAGGTGCACGAACAACATGAGCGAAAACCGAATCACTGTGCAACGAGGAAGTAGCAGAAGCAGAGAGTGAATCAGCCATGGCGGATGAAGACGATTGAACCAGATGCCTAACGAGAGCGTTAATTCTTCGATCGATTGGATCACTATTTGAAGTCGAACTACCGGAAATAGCAGTTTGTTGAACGTCAAACAAGGGGCGCATCTCGCGTGCTCTCAATTCCCTTTTTACTTTTTCCTTTTTCTTCCTTGATTTACTCTTTTTCCCTCTTTTTCTTACTTCGGCGCTGTTTTATCTTTCACAGTTCGACTTTCCCTTTTATACGTAGTCCAAGACGAGGCTTTCATTCCAGAACCGTCCCACCAATATACTTTTCTGATTATTACTATAAAAAGAAAATAAATGTAATTAAATTTATTTTTGAAAAAAAAAAAAAAAACCAAATTTGTCAGCCTATCCCTCCAACAACCGTGTAACAACTCTTTTTTAATACTTTTTATTTTATTTTCCGAAAAAAAAAACAATTTCTTTTTTTTATATTCAAATTAAAAATTAAAAATATTATTAGTTTTAGATAGAAACCGCTACTTCTTTGTTTCAAAAATAAGTTAGAACTTTAAAAACTAGGTAAAATTAAAAATACTTTTACTCTTAATACTAAATTTAAAAAATACCCATAAAATTATAATTAACATTAATACCCTTTTATCTTTGGTAGAGTATCGTAAAACTTTTGAAAATTTAATAGAAAAAATAAAATAAATAAAATATTAACTATTTATATTTAAAATGAACGATAAAATTATTTTTTATACATAATTAATTTTAAAGAAAGTTCCAAGTTATTGTTATTAATTAATTTTTTAAACATATATACAAGGGAGAAGTAAACGATGTGACACGTGGCATGCATGGCGGTAATGTTTTGTTGGCACGCATGCCGAGGGAGACAGAGGTCATTGCAACCCATGTTTCGCACGTGGCATTCAGGTGCACAAAATGGATGAGGATTCATTTCCCTTGGCACGTTTCTCGAGCACTCCCACGTGGCTCAAGCACGGACGCCTGCGATGGCACGGAATTGTTGTCTTTGTCTCTGCTCTACGAATTATTCTGTTCATATTTTTTATATTAAATATTTTAGTATTAAGAGTTGACATTTTTAATTATAGCTTATTTTAAAATATAATAGTACTCATATAATATATATGTCAATGGAACTTTTATGTTGACTTTTTTTAATTATTAAAATAAACTTTAAGCTTATATATTTTAATAGTTTCGCAATCATTTTCTAAAATTAATTAATTATTTGTTTAAAAAACTATTATAATTTTTTTAAAAAAACTATTTGTTTATTTTCAGTACTTTTAAATTTTAATCCTAATATATATATATTAAAAAAACAACAGCTTTTCCTCTACGCCAAGAACAACCATAATTGCACAAAGAAAAATGAGAAACCCTACGTTTATCTTTGTAACCCATCCATCACTTTCACAATTCTATATGCATTCTCTTTGGTTCTACACCTTTTTTCAACCATCATATAAATTCTTATAATTATCATCGAATTTGTAATAGAAATTTTGATAGTGTGAGGAGAAGAAAGAAGTGATTACTCACGTGTGACACATCCTGTTTTTGCACTGGGGAATTATTTCCATTTTCTGTATAATACTGCAAATGTCGGCATATCTTCATCATCCGGCTGGGCACTAGGATGTGTGTAAACATCAATTCTCCCTTGTTAGACCGCTCTGGCTCGGTTCTGTGTCGATTGGGGGGGTCCCACTCAAGGAGTTAATCCTGAGAAGTTATGTGGGTAATTAGCACTGCAGTATTATACAGAAAATGGAAATAATTTCCCAGTGCAAAAACAGGATTCGGTCAGACAACAAAAATACCTTAACAAGAAAAACTAAAGGTAAACCCTATAACTTCTTCTTCGTCACGAGAATAATAGTTGCAATGGCAAGCAGCTCTAGGAGAACCGGGTGCACTTGGCGGGACAGAGGGAAGAGGACGAAAGGAAAGATAAAAGAATATTATTACTATTGTGTTATTTTATGTCTAATAAAATTTAAAACTTTTAATTTCTAAATTCATTAATATATATGTATAAAGAAATGAATTAAATTTATAATTTATATATACTAAATAAATACAAACAATAAATAATTATTATTTAACATAAATAAAAATATGTAATTTCAAACAAAATAAATTAGTACCCAAGTTCAATATTTAACAATAAATTAGGATTAAATAAAAATAAAAAACACTATAATTATTCGCTAATGGATGATTAATCCATAATTTTGAAACATGGGAGGGAAGGATGTGTTGGAGAAGGCATATGGATGGACACGTGGGACGTCGGCTTCCAAACGAGCCAGAGGAGATTCAGCGCTTATTATCTGGACGACATGTCGTGCCCCTTTATAGATATGACTTTATTTCACGCACTTAACAACAGCGTTGTTATGGAGTCACACCAATCAAATTTTGTCTCCCAAAAATGGCTTTTCACACTATTATTTGTTTTTTATTATCTAATTTATATTAATATTCTTAAAAATTAATCCAGAATTATAAATTTAAAATAAGTATCAAATTGAATTAAAAATAGAAAAATTAAACGCATTTATTATTATTAATTATTTATCGTCTGTGTTTTAAGGAGACAAAGAGGTACGATTTTGTGGAGTGGGAGAGGACCTTTTCACTTACTTCATGCTCATCCCCACCAAATGTTTAGTTTTTTATTTTTATTTTTATTTTTTAAATCCTTATTTTCTCTCGTAGATTCCTTTTAAAAGTGTTCAAAGGGACTAATCTAGACAGTAGATTTTGTGTGTGGAATCTTACAAGAACTTTTTAATTAATTAATTAATTTTAAAATGTGTCTAATAATTAAATTTTCAATTTAAATTTTATATTTAATAGATTTTCCGCTTTAAAATTCTTAATTTTGGGTTCAATAAGACAATTTTTTTTTTAATTATAGTTTTCAGAGTATTTTATTTTTAATCCACCCATTTTTCAATAATTTAGTTCATATTATTATTATTATTATTATTATTATTATTTTGGTATGAGGATAAGAGGAAAAAGAAATAAAAATCTGAAAGAAAAAGAAGAAAAGTCTATGGCTAGAATTTGGGCATCAATTTGGTGTATCTAGTCCCTACTCTATCAATCAGTCCACTTCCTTCCATTTCTCTCTCTTTCCTTTTCATACAAATATTTTCAATTTTTTTAGATTCATTTCATTCAACCCCACCCTACACAATTCTCTCACCCTTTTAAATACATATAAAAAAAATATGAATATTCCTAATTTTCTATTTTATTTTTTAAAATATTTATACATTTTAAAATGGGAAATATCAATTGTAATAGCGGGTAAAAGTTTGAAAAATAGTTCGTTATATCATTTGGTTAATAAAAATATTAATTTATTTTAATATATTCTTTTGATTATTCTTGTTTCGCTTAAGTTGATCAAAGTATGCGACTAGGTTGAATTGGGATTATATTTAATTATATTAATATTTATCCATAATTTTTTATGAATTTATATTTCTATTTTATTTATTTTAAAATTGTGTTATGTATATCCAAATTTAAAAATATATTAAATTTTTATATTTTTATATTTTTAATTCATAAAATATAGTATTATATTGACAAGTATGACCAGACATGGATTCAAATATGATTTCTATGCTAATCCCCTTCGCACGTGCGAAAAAGGCAGGGAAAAAATAAGGTAAATAAATAATTAAAAAAAAAAGAAAGAAAGGTGAGAGTCTCACAGGAGGAGGATGGATATGGTTCATTGGTGAGTGACAGAAAAAGGGCGGTACGTGTTTTCTGGAGTGTTGGTTCCGTGCTTTTATTTTGTGAGATGTCAGGTGGCGGTTGCAGCATAGTTTGGTTCAGAAGAGATCTCAGGGTTGAAGATAACCCTGCTCTTACCGCCGCCGTCAGGTCCGGCGCCGTCGTTGCCGTCTTCATCTGGGCACCGGAGGAAGAAGGTCACTACTATCCCGGCAGAGTCTCGCGATGGTGGCTCAAACAGAGCTTGGCTCATCTCGATTCCTCTCTTAGAAGCCTTGGTACTTTTCTTGTCACTAAGAGATCCACCAACACCATTTCTGCTTTGCTCGACGTCGTTAAAGCCACTGGTGCTTCTCAGCTCTTCTTCAATCATTTATACGGTCTGTTCTTCCTGTTCTTCGCTTCAGTTTCAAATCCTTATTTGAATCGGTTCCTTAATTTCTCTCGTCTTCTTGTTTGTTTGTTTTGGATTATTGTGTTCAGACATCGGAGATTGTTTCTATCGGCCTTTTCTGGAATTGATTTCTCTGTGTTCTTGAGTTATGAGGTTTCTGCTCAGTGTATGATTGTTCTTGGCTGTGTTCGTCCGTTTCATTTTTGTTCATCTGCTTGTAAATTGCTACTAATTAGTGGGCGAAATCTGCTTATTATTGGTATAAATTGTAATCGTTCGAGAATTTCATAGAAGTGGAAAGAGGGAAGGTCCTTAATGGTTGTGATGCGAATAATTTCCATGTAGAATTGGCATCTTATGGAGTTTCCTTTGATGTCTTGATAATGATTTGGAAATACATATCTTATGAAAGCAAATTTGTTTGTCAGATCCTTTATCACTCGTTCGGGATCATCGAGCGAAGGAGGTGTTATCTGCTCAAGGCATCGGTGTGAGGTCGTACAATGCCGATTTACTGTACGAACCGTGGGACGTTAAGGATGCCAATGGCAATCCATTTACCACCTTTGCTGGTTTCTGGGAGAGATGTCTCAGCATGCCTTGTGATCCAGAGGCACCACTTCTCCCACCTAAGAGAATAATTTCAGGTTGCCTATTCTTCTATCATTTAGTTCAACAAGCCTTGTGTTTACTTCAATTTTTCTTTTCTTATCGAATATACGATTGATCGGTAACTCTCCAGTTGTCGTGTTTGTTTGTTCTTCGTGACGTTTTTTTCGTAAGAGAGAACACTCTATTGATTTCAGTCTATGCTGTGAGGTTTGTATTTCATTCTATGTTGTAATATATCAAATGTGTTTTGTGTACCACAAAGTTGCATAGTTGGTTCCATGTTATCGGTGGAAAATCGAGACGATTACCTTTCCCCAACGTAACATTACGCTCTTTGTTGTGTCATTACAGCCTATGGGTCAATTAATAAGAAAGTAGTTTCGTTTGTTACATATTTTAGGTGGCTCGTTCTGGCTTATTATTACGTTGGTGCGTAAGCATGGTATAGATTTCGAGAACATCATCGGTCTAAATAATGTCTATTGTTAAGAGTTACTGATCAGATAACGTCGTCGATCTTAAAGCTTCACTCTAAACATTGTGTTTGCTCCTTCAGGTGATGCATCTAGGAGGTGCCAATGTGACACATTGTTATTTGAAGACGAATCGGAGAAGGGAAGCAACGCGCTTCTTGCCCGAGCATGGTCTCCTGGATGGAGCAACGCGGACAAGGCTTTGACCACGTTCATCAATGGACCATTAATCGAGTACTCAAAGAATCGAAGGAAGGCAGATAGTGCAACCACCTCATTTCTGTCTCCCCACTTACATTTCGGAGAGGTAAGCGTGAGAAAAGTGTTTCATCTCGTTCGAATGAAGCAGGTTTTATGGGCGAATGAAGGGAACAAGGCTGGCGAAGAGAGTGTCAACTTGTTTCTCAAGTCTATAGGGCTCAGAGAGTATTCCAGATACATGAGTTTCAACCATCCGTACAGTCATGAAAGGCCTCTTCTTGGGCATCTTAAATTCTTCCCTTGGGTTGTGGATGAAGGCTATTTTAAAGCATGGAGGCAAGGAAGGACTGGTTATCCATTAGTGGATGCTGGTATGAGAGAATTGTGGGCTACGGGGTGGCTGCACGATCGGATCCGAGTTGTAGTTTCGAGTTTCTTTGTCAAGGTTCTGCAGCTTCCTTGGAGATGGGGAATGAAGTACTTCTGGGATACTCTCTTGGATGCCGACCTTGAGAGTGATGCTCTTGGTTGGCAATACATATCTGGCACTCTTCCCGATAGTCGTGAATTTGATCGTATCGACAACCCACAGGTGCACACACTTTTCGAGTTCTTCCTCAAATAAACACATTGTCCTCTGCATTTATCTAAAATCTAATATCTTCCAACTCCGTGCTTGTTCGAAAAAGTTTCTTATTGAGGGTTTTAGACATGAATTTTTTTTAAAATGGTCTTATTTTATTAAGTACGACGGGTCGGAGTATGGAGAATTGTATCTCCGAGCTCAAGGGAAGGAGTACATGCCAGAACGACAACTCTTTCTCTTAGATTACATGTGTTTCTGGATGTAACTGTCTGAACTAGTAGTTGTTTTTTTGCAGCTTGAGGGTTATAAATGCGACCCGTATGGAGAATACGTCCGGAGATGGCTTCCTGAACTTTCTAGATTGCCCACTGAATGGATTCATCATCCATGGAATGCACCGGAGTACGTACTCCAAGCTGCTGGGATCGAGCTTGGATCGAACTACCCCCTTCCCATCGTAGGGCTGGATGCAGCTAAAGCAAGGTTGGAAGAAGCGCTGTCGGAGATGTGGCAACAAGAAGCAGCTTCAAGGGCTGCGATCGAGAATGGAACTGAAGAGGGACTTGGGGACTCTTCCGAGTCGATCCCAATTGCATTTCCTCAGGAAATAACAATGGAGGAGGAGGACGTTGAGCCTGCAAGGATGAACGCTCATACGATTCGGTGCTACGAGGATCAGATGGTCCCAAGCATGACGAGTTCGGTGAGATTAGGAGATGAACCTTCTCTGAACATTCAAAGTACAGCAGAAGATGGTAGAGCAGAAGTACCTATAAATGCAAATTTAAACCAAGAGCCAACCAGAAATGTAGTGAACCCAAGAGTTCGGCCAACCAATCCAACGCAGACTCGACTTCCCTATACCCCAGGTATCGGCCTAGGAACTGCTGCTGAAGATTCCACTGCAGAGTCCTATTCCAGTAGTGATGTGAGACGAGAGAGAGACGGAGGTGTGGTGCCTGTTTGGTCTCCACCGAGTTCGAGTTACACCGAGCAGTTTGTGGTCGACGAAAATGGCATCGGAACAAGCTCTTCGTTCTTGCAAGGGCATCAACAGAGTCATCAAATAATTAACTGGAGGCAGCTATCTCAGACTGGGTAACAACTTGTGAATCATTAGTCATTTCTCCGAGGGCCAAGTCCCACGATGAGTAGTCGGTAGCTTGGTACGATACCGACTAACTGATAGAAGCAGTTCATCTGCCAATGATCGTCTCCCTCCCGCTCTTCCCGTTATCACGGTTGTATCATATGTCTTGCTATGCTGTATAGTGAAGATTGTAATTTGTGTAGCTGTAACACAAGCGTAGAGAATTGATATAGTGATTGTCGTCGTAGTCGTCATCGTCGTCTTTGAATAAACTCAGGTTTGCGACTAGCCCGGATTCTTGTAAGCTTTTTCTTAAGCTATGGAAATATTTCTCTATCTTGCTTGCCTTTTAAAATCAGATGCCTATAACTATTTCTCTCTTTCTCTTTTGTATGAATGAGTAAGATATTTCTTCTATTCTTAACAAGTCATCGAGCCTCCATAAGGGGACTAGAAAACGCCTTTCGATTTATCCCAACCCTTGCCACCTTCCTTAACAAGTCCTCGAGTCTCTTTTGCACCGCCTTTCTCATAGAAGCCACATGAAGAGATTTAAAAGAGAAAGTAGCTTTTTGACCTCTCAAGTTGAATTCTAGCGTCGAGAATGTTGTAACCGACCATATTAGAGTTTTGGTGGTAATGTCATGAAAATTGACCGATCATAATAGATATGAAAGGACTTTAATTTTCGAATCAACCACAAGATTGTGGCTCAAGCTTGAATCGCTCAACCGACCATCTAGTCAATTATCCCTTTCTCACACGCTTTTCATTATTTGCTCAATTGTTTCAACCCATTAGATTATTTATTAATTGTTCTTATTTCCAATATTTTATTTTATTTTTTAAATAATGTTCAATTAAATATATATTTAACTAATTACAGTTATATAATTAATACCCGATTTATTAATTTATTTTGAGGAAATTAAATTGAAATTAAAATTAAAAATTAGAAAGCAAGAGAAGTAGGAAGTCTCTGTGCTGTTGGTCGGTGACCGTACCTACACGTGTCAAAATCATGTAATTTACCGAGACATGTGGAGTTATTGCATGTTTTTTTTCTCAATTTATTGTTAAAAATATTCCCATGTTTTTATTTTTAAAATATGATTATTAATATGATTGAATTTTCCATCCCACGTAGGATTGTAACATAATTTAAAAAAAAAAGTGAAAAATTAAAAAAGAAAAAACACAAAGTCAACAGTAAAAAAGCAAGAAAGTCAACAGAGAAGAAAGTCATAGTCCCATTTTGTGGGTAATTTTCCTTTTTATTTTCGTTTTAAAATTCAAACCCACAGTTACTTTAACTAATTTTACATTTTTATTAAATCTTAATTATTTTAAATTGTGATCAAAATTTACATGTTCGCTTCCCTTTTCTCTCTCCCTCTGTCACCATTCTCTTATTCGATAGCCACACCAAATCAAGAACTCCAACAAGAACAAGAAGGTGAAGCGACGTCGCATAGAAGGAGCTGCAAAAGCGCAGCCCAGTTTTCCCCCGGTACAGGTTCGAGCCATCGTTTTGGGGTTCTGGGTTTTTTTTTTTTTTTGGATTATTAACCATTGTTGAGTTGGGAATTTGATGGTGCAGTTGGTGAATTTGGAGAGGGTTTGATTTGGATTTAGCTGATGGATAAGCTGTGCTGTTTGAATGCTTCCTACTCTCGGGTAAGAACCAAGAACAGCCTCTCTTACCTTTTGTGTTTCACCGTTCTTCAATTCTAGCTGTGTTGATTCCTTCTGTGCCATGAATTAACCAAATCCACTGATAAATTTAGGGCTAGAATTGACGTGGGATCCTTTAATCTACTTCCTTCGGGGTCTAGCGTCCTTGCTGGCACACTGTCTCGTGTTCATTCACCCCTTCGAGGCTTAGCCTCCTTGTTGGTACATCGCCCGGTGTTTGGCTCTAATATTATTTGTAACGGCTTAAGCCCACCGTTATTATATATTGTCCTCTTCGAACTTTCCCTTGTGAAATTCTCCTCAAAGTTTTTAAAATGGATATGTTAGAGAGAGGTTTCCACACCCTTGTAAAAAATGCTTCTTTCATCTCTGTTGGGTTAAGGCGTAGTGCATCGCTGTAGTGTTCTATGTACAGAGGGATATTTGGAAGGGGTAATAACCCAAATCCACCACCACTAACAGATATTGTTCTATTTGAGCTTTCTCTTTGAGTTGACTCTGCAAGGTTTTTAAAAGGTAGGGAGAGAGGTATTGACACGGTGATAAATGTTCTCTTCTCCAACCGATATGGGTTCTCACAGAAAGATTATTAATCTGGTGGTGTAGGTTCGGTCGGCGTCGAACTACGGTAAAGGAAGAAGCCATGAGGGGGTAATCAAGTATGGATTCTGCCTGGTGAAAGGGAAAGCTAAGCATCCCATGGAAGATTACCATGTTGCTAAGTTTGTTCAAATTCAAGAACATGAATTGGGGCTGTTTGCTATCTACGATGGCCATGTTCAACAAACTGTGCCTGCTTACTTACAAAAGCATCTCTTTTCTAATATCCTCAAAGAGGTGACAACCAACTTCTAGCCCACCCTGCCCTATCTGAGTATCCATTCATGTGCCTTTTCTTTTCATTACAGGAGGACTTTTGGGTCGACACGAACAGCTCCATCTCGAAAGCCTACGAGAAAACGGACCAGGCGATTCTGTCTCACAGCTCTGACTTGGGTTGTGGCGGATCAACTGCTGTTACTGCTATTCTGATTAACGGTCAACGACTATGGGTGGCCAACGTCGGAGATTCACGCGCAGTTCTTTCGAGAGGCGGTGAAGCTATACAAATGACTATCGATCACGAGCCGAATTCCGAACGCAGCATCATCGAGAATAAAGGTGGCTTCGTTTCTAACATGCCAGGTAACTTATATAGAAAGCAGAATTGAACTGATGTCTTGGTTCATATCAGTTTGAGTTCATGTTTTGTTTCTCTTTCCTATAAAAATAGGAGACGTACCTCGAGTGAATGGTCAGCTAGCAGTTTCGCGAGCATTTGGAGACAAGAGTCTCAAATCTCACCTACGATCGGACCCCGACATACGTGATATTAACATAGACGCCAACACGGATGTATTAATTCTCGCTAGTGACGGTCTTTGGAAGGTGTTATCTGATTCATTCCTAAACACTTCTAGAAATCATTCATTTGTGTTCTTCTTATGAATGTGGATGAAACAGGTGATGGCGAATCAAGAAGCGGTCGATATCGCACGAAGAATCAAGGACCCGATGAAGGCTGCAAAGCAGTTAATAACAGAGGCTTTGCTGAACGGGAGTAAAGACGACATATCGTGCATTGTCGTTAGATTTAGATAGTAAAGACGACATTCAGTATATACCCCAAATAAGAAGAAATTTATCTATTAGGCCAACAAAGTAAATATACGTGTTTCGGGTATACTGTATCTGTAAATTAGATTAGGCTGATTATGTTTAATTTCAAATTTTATTATATTAATGAGCCCAAGCCCAAAGCCCAAGCCCAAATCCCAAAGCCCAAGCCCAAATCCCAAAGCCCAAAGCCCAAAGCCCAAAGCCCAAAGCCCAAGCCCACATATTATTGTCGTATTGCGAAAATTACCAAATTACCCCCGCAGAAACGGTCGTCTAGGGTTTCAGGCGCTATATATATATATATATTCATCGTAAGCTTTGATCCGAAGGCATACGATTCCAATTTTACAGCTTCTTGGGTTTTGGGGTTTCAAGCATTAGGGTTTGGGTTTAGGGTTTGGGTTTAGGGTTTGATTCCATTGTTGATTAAATTGGCCTCTCCTTTCAGCTTCAAGTGGTGAGATCTTTTGATCGTATTCTTGGTGGCTTTGTTCTGGAGGCGTACATTGATTCTCTGAGGTTTGGGGGGTTTTCTTTTGTCCAGATTTTGTGCTATCACATCTCTGGCTCCCCTTGCTTCGGTACATTGCCCTTGTAATCGTCCATTTTTATTCCAATTTTGTGTATGAATCCTCTGGATTTGGGAATTCGTTTTCCATTTTATTTTTTGATGGTCTATTTGATTGTTCGTGTCATATGAACTGGGCTCCGTTGGGAAAATGGAGGACTTATTATCTCCTTTATATTTTTTTTCTGGGCCGGGCCCAATAGATTAGCAATTAAAATATAAATTTGCACTATTTAATTATATATCCTTATTTTAATAGAGATGTCACAAAAGGTAGAAACGGGTCAAAAACAATACTTTGAAACAAATGAACAAAGAGATGTCGATTTCTCACCATTCCATATGCAAGGATCCATGCATGTAATCTCACACGTGCCATTACCCTTGCCCCTTCCTTCCAATAATGGATATAGATAAAATTGGAAACTAAGTACTGATCATCGGACGGCGGTGGATGAAAGTTCGAGATCGTGACAGCGTGAACACCAGATTTATTTACGGCCCATTTAGCATGTGAAATTTCAGGATATATAACAAATATTCCACCTCATATTTAATTATAAATTTGATTTTATATTAAATAAATATTTCGTTTGAAGAATATGGGGCGTTCCATGCGGGACTTCTTTCTTTCTCTTACTACTGTAACTCGGTGCTCCTATTTATCCCTTCTCCTCTTCCTCAATTTTACACCATTTTTGTCTGGATTTGGGATTTCAGAGCACTCTGTTCTGAATCCCCCGATCTTGCTTCTTTCAATTTCTTCTTCTATAAGGTAAATCTGGAGGACCTCATCGACCAAAGGTGCTTCCCTTTCTCTATTTCATCTTCTTTCTTCTTCATCTTCTTCAATTGCCAATACGTAGATTTTCTTTGATTAAATTATGGATCGCATGGACATTTTTTCCGATTTTGAACTTGATTGCGGTCATACCGGTCTACCTTGTTTGTGCGAGTAGTGAAGCTTCTGAGGAGAAGCTGCCTCGTTCATAACTCTGGCCGACGTCGCTGTGATATCGTCTCAATCTTCCCCTAGAATTGGCCGTTTTTGTGGATTGTCTGGTCCATGTGCGTCGTCCGATTGCAGTTTGTTGTTGCTTCGGCGTCTTCCGATCGACTACGGCTAATTTCATTCCGGTCGACCTTTTATAAAAAACGAAGTATTGCTCTGTCAAAATCGCTATCGATGTGAGAATTTGAAAAGGATTACTAGCAGGAATAGTTCATGTGAAAGGGATTACTAGCAGGAATCGAAACGTAGAGCACATTTCTTATCATTCAAGAAGTATACTTATGACAAAATTCAATTGCTTCTCTGGCCGAACAGGGAAGAAGAAGAAAACCAAGGCATGTTTTCTTTCATTATTCGTATCTTGCTTGATAAGTTTCCCAACGGAGTTTGCTAAATATATATATATCCTCTTAATCTATGGTTGCAGATCGATTTGGAACCGGAGAAGCCTACCGAATTGAAATATCTGTCGAAAACTTTGCATGTCAGCAGCATCCATCACTGTGAGGAGCCTCTCCAGGGTGGAGAAAGGAAACCGTCTACCCTGGACGTTTCAGTTCTGTACCCATCAGAGAATAATTCTAAGCTGGATGATAAGTTAACGAACAATCATGAGAGTTCTGTAGCAGGAGCAGCAGTAGAACCAGCATATGAAGGGGAGGATGAGCGAGACGACAACTCGATCAAATGGAACCCTTCTGACTTTGATCTCCCTGCTCAAGACACATGTGGAGAAGAATTTGAGTTTCAATTTCCAAGTTCATTGGGAAAACAATTAGATAAGATCATTATTGAAGGGGTTGATACAATCCAAAGTGGACATGTTAGTGATCCTGGAATTGGTAAGGCAGTATCTTGGGCATTACCTAAACTTAAACGCTCATGTTCTAATCTGGAAAGCAGGGATGTGCTTAGAAACTTATCTCCTCATCAGTTGCCTCCTCCAATGTCTCAGTCTTTCGAAAAACTACAAGAATTGGCAGACGAAATGAGGAACTATGTTGATCCGGGCAGTCCAGGGTCTGTTATGACTCATCACAGTGCAGATAAAGTCATGTTGAAGAAGCGTTCTTCAAGCCAGATTCTACCTTCCAGAAGCAGGAGATTGTGGTGGAAGTTGTTCCTGTGGAGCCATAGAAACCTACAAAAGCCGTGTACTACCAATACCAAGGCTCTTCCCACCAGCTCTGCTTTCAACCAGCAAGGTGGGTATTGCTCTGACAATCTTGAGCCGAACAGAGCAGCGGGGAAGAGTATAATGGAATCACCTGGATCAGGAGAATGCCCCGAAAACAACGAAAGCAATGATCAGGATCAGGAGAATGTGTGTATTGGAGTTTCTGGTTTATGGCCACAAAACCAGTGGGTTGCATTTTCAGCAGAATCATCTTCTACCCTAAGAAGAGTGGATGAGTGGGTGAAGGATCTTCAACTAGAACCCTGTCTTTCAATTGACGCGGTTGGGGATGACAATGATTCAGATACTTTCTTCCCGCTAACTCCAGAGCGAACTGCAACTCACACACCCCGACGTGGAGAACCCAATCTGACAGAAGAGATTTTGTATGCCAATAGCATCATTGGGTCGCTCAATTCTTCCTCAACCGTGGCTCACATCTCTGGCATTGGCTTAAAAGCCATACCCACAATCTCGCACCTATCCGGTCTTAGATCTGTCAACTTGTCTGGAAATCTCATAGGTAATTCCTTCTTATATCTCCAAATGTTTGGCATAGCACTATTCTTGCCACTGAAATGGTTGGTTGGTTGGTTTCCAGATCACATTAACCCTGGATCACTGCCCAAGGGACTGCATACGCTTAACTTGTCCAGGAACATGATCATTGCCATTGAAGGACTCAAAGAGTTAGCACGACTTCGGATACTCGATCTGAGTTACAATCGTATATCTCACATAGGACATGGTACTGTTTGAAAAACGTAACGAAAGGTCTAAAACTTATCAATTTCTGATGATTCTGAATGTGCAATTTGTTGAATATGTACACCAGGGTTGTCAAACTGTGCAATTATTAAGGAACTCTATCTTGCTGGCAACAAGATTAGTGATGTTGATGGACTGCATCGACTCTTGAAGCTCACGGTTCTCGACCTAAGCTTCAACAAGATTTCAACAAACAAAGCTCTGGCCCAACTTGTTGCCAACTACAACTCTCTTCAAGCTCTTAATCTGTTGGGGAATCCAATTCAAAGTAATGTGAGCGACGACCAGCTACGCAAGGCAGTTGTTGGCCTTCTTCCAAGTCTTGTTTATCTAAACAAGCAGCACATCAAAGCACAGAGAGCTCGAGAAGTCGCGACTGACAGCGTTGCCAAAGCTGCACTAGGGAACGGTAGTTGGAATTCTCATAGAAGAAAATCAAGGAAAACGAGCCATATAGCATCATCATCTTCCATCAGTGGGCACAGGAGTAGTGCAAGTGTTGCACACAAAGGCAGGCACAGATCAAAAGCGCCAACCTTGCGCCATTATTCTCTGGGGATGGATTCATCGGCCCTTCCATCATCATCACGTCGTTAGGATGTGTTTTCTGTTCTGTTTTGTTTCCCAATTTCTTCAGCTCTATCACATTCGCTGCCCTGTTTTTCCCGTCCATAGAACTACGTTAGTCATGTGGTTAAAATGTTCTCTGTAACCTTAGTGAATTGAGATTGCATTTCTTAATGGCATAATCTGACTTTCCAATTTGGTTTTGCACCCGATATCGATTTTTTGGGTTTTCCCTTTCAAGCTTCTCATGGTTTTAAAATCCCTACCAGCCTATCGGACGTATTTTAAAACCTTGAGTAGAAGCTCAAAGAGAGAGGAATGAAGCATTCTTTATAGGGGTGTGGAAACCTCTCCCTATCGGACGTGTTTTAAAACCTTGAGTAGAAGCTCAAAACAAACGCGTTTTAAAACCTTGAGTAGAAGGTCAAAACAGGTGTTTTAAAACCTTGAGTGGAAGGTTAGCTCAAATTTTAAAACCTTGAGTGGATGCTCAAATTTTAAAACCTTAAAATTCCAAAGAGACAATATCTACTGGCAAATTTCAAATATCTCCTAGCAAATGACTTTATACTGATCCCACTTTAAATCAAACTCAACAAACAGAGATTCAGCCTAACAAATAGTGTATGCCAAAGAAGATCTATATTTACCTCATTGGAGTGACAGATATTTTTTGCCTAAGAACAAAAACAGTTCATTTCTAAATCAATATCACTCACCTTTGATATGATATCATTCCATCTTCTGCATTTGAGCATATCTACGCAGCTTCTCGTTGAAAACAACTTGAGGATCCTTCTCAATCAAGTCGCCATTTTCATTGTATGCATCCTTCAAAAAAACAACCCAATTCATTTCCGTCCCAGCCAGATAAAAGGTTCTGGGTTGCTTCAGAAGCATCTGATAAGTGTGCTTAGTCAAGCTGAACTCCTCCTTAAACTCCACAATATGATGAATAGAAGCCTTCTTCTCCAATGTCAAGCTCAAGAACTCATGCACCACGCCAACCCTGTACTTCTCTGCTTCCAATGTCCAAAGTTCCAGCTTCGATCCGTCCGAATATGGCGAAACCAATGGAAGTGTATTCAACAAATTCAGCTTCCTCGTATCATCCTCATCCAAATCCAAATCCTTCCCATGTTTCACAGGAAACTTGAACGCCCTTTTCGCCTTATCTTCGTTCACCACGAACTCTCTCTCGAGCTCACTAACAGCCAGTAGAGGATCCCAATTGACCAATTCCAGCACCCTCTTCCCATCATCTTCCACCACAACTCTGAAGAAATCCGGATATTTCCCCACTCGATCTCTAAAATCCTCTGGAATCCCAAACACCGATCTGCAGTGATAGATTTTCGACAATGGAATTCGCTTATTCGCCGACATCATCAACAACTTCCTCACAGTTCTAACCCTATCCATCTCCATCGAGTCCATAATCCTCTTCTCTTCCTCGATCAACCTCTCCATAAACTCGGTAAATCCAAACCACATTTTCCCATCCACGTGACGGTAGGGTTCGAACATGAGCGGATGGCGCTCAATAGATCGAGCGACCTTGCGTCCTCTCGGGAAGCCGAGTTCGCGATAGAGCTTACCGGCATCGTCGAGGCGAAGAACGTGCTCCGGCTGCTTTGAAAGGAAATCCTTCGATTTAAAAAGGAATCTGAAGAAGGAATCTGTTTCAACGATGCGCTCGAAGTAAGAAATGCGATTAGGTTCGGATTGGACAAGCTTGGTTCTAGGGCTTTCTTGCTTCTTGCGTTTCTTCCTGAACTTCTTGGGGAGCTTGGTGATGAGGAAGGAGGTGGAAAATGGGAGTTTCTGGTTGAAGAAGGAAGCAGAGGAATGGCGGAGGGAGTTTGTTAGGGTTAGGGTTTCAGGGGATTTTAGGTTGGTGACGAGAAGGCGCCAAGCCATCAGAATTTTGATTTGGTTGCTTTTGCTGATTAAACTGGACATACTGGAAACACCGGAAATCTGGAGCTAAGTAATTCATTTTTTTCTTCACAAATTTAATTTATACTCCTAGATTTTAAGTTGAACTAATAATTATATTTATTTAAATTATTTTAAAATTTTTAAAATAACATAAATTTTCTCTAAGTATTAGTACTAAAATATATATATATATATATATTATATAAAAATATTCTATTATTTCATAAAGTAAAAATTAAAAAGGTAAATTAGTACAAATATTTCTAAATTTTTAAAAATTTCATTAATATTTTACCAAAGTAAAGCCACGAGAGCTTATGCTGGACAATATCATACTATTGTGGAGTAAAGTCATGAGAGTTTATGCTCAAAGTAGACAATATCATACCATTGTAGAGAGTCGTGTTCATCTCATGGTATCAGAGTCATGTCCTAAACTTAGTCGTGCCAATAGACCTCAAATGTCGAACAAAAGACTCCAAAAGAAAAGGAGTCAAGCCTCCTCGAAGACAGTAAAAAATGAATAGGACTCCAAAAGAGTTGAGCCTCAATTAAGGGAAGGGTACTTTATTCGAGGGGAGGTGTTATAAACAAATAATACTCTCTCTATTGTTATGAGGCCTTTTGGGGAGCCCAAAGCAAAGCCACAAGAGCTTACACTCAAAGTGGATAATATCATTCCATCGTGGAGAATCGTGTTTGTCTTTAAACTTAAAAAAAATAATAATAATAATAATAACATACAAATTATTAATAAAGAAATTTTTTAAAATTTACGACAAAATAAAAAATAACTGGGAATTATATTATGACAGAGCAAAATATGAGGTTGCTTATTGATGATCCAATTTCACAATCTTAATCACATTGAGGTATATAACATTTGAGGAAGTGCATAAAAATACAAAGCTCTAAACAATCCTACAAATTCTTACTTCTGTGCTCATCTTCTGCATAATTACATGATCCTATTTCGGCCTTACGGCTTCTATGGCTGCTGCTATTCTGGTGTGTTCAATCCTAATTTGTGTACTCTCTTCTTTCCTGTTTCTATGCCTCCTATGATGCTTATTCCATCATCCATGGAATCAATATAAAATACTTTGTAATCACTTTGCTTGTCTCTTCAACAAAGGTTTTTGGCAGATTAGGACTCTCTCGTCGTTGTTATCTTCGATTTCTATAACTCGGGCATCCCACTTAAGCTGTGTAGTTAGAGTTCGGGCTGATTCGATAAGTGCAGCGGTGTCACGGATTATCACCCAACCCTGTAAAACCAGTGACATTGTCGACATCATCAAATGATATCACCATTTGCAGGACAATTTTCAACCAATCTAAGATGTGAAGTATAGAGCGGGAAGCACTTTTAGTCATAGCAGAAGTGTTTTACCGAGGTCAAGAACACTCCCTGAGAGATCCCACATCGGTTGGAAGAGGAAATGAAGCATTTTTTATAGGAGTGGTGGAAATCTCTCCCTAGTAGACGCATTTTAAAAATCTTAAGGGGAAGCTCGAAAGGGAAAGCCCTTCCGAGCAAGCCCAAAGGAGATAATATCTACTCGTAGTGGGCTTGGGCTGTTACACCCGAAGATGGTAATATCAAAGCAACTCAATCATCAAATGTTTTTGGATCACTAGCTCCCTTGAGTATTGGTTTAAAGTCCTTCATTCCTTGTTTCCCATAAAGAGATTGCAAGTTTTAGGGAGCTCAGCAGCAGAACTTCAACATACTTTATTGGTTATTCTTATACTTCACTAACACTAGAACTAATAACAGTAACTAAAGGAAAAGAAATAGTACCTCTGGACGAAGTAACCGATCAATCTCAATGAATAAATCGAGCATCGAGCACCTCCGCTTCTTACTTGCTTCAAGGGACAGAAGCCCTGCCGCATGCACCAAATCATATGATCTAGGATATGTTGGAAAGGCCTCGCACCTGAATTGAAGAAGGCAACTAGAACGTAAGAACAAAAGAAATTTTCTGCAGCAAACGTCAGATGAGATTCACCAAGTTTAGAAGAATAGTATTACCAATCGTGCAATACCCCAATGAAACCTCTATCCATTATCAAGGGAAGATAGTTCGGTCCATCGGTCGGTACCACGTTCATGACCCATACAGACTTCCCAGCCTCCAACAATGCAGAATTGAAGCCTCCAAAATGAGCGTTCATATCTAGCACATTCCGAAGCATGTTGTATGGCGGTAAAGGATCCTCATCGCCTGGTCTTTTCGGATGATCCGAGAAGATCAATGGTGACAAAAGAGACCAATAGTTCTTTACTGCCATTTTCCAGTTTAGAGAATCATCTGTGAAATCATCTAAAGCCAATCCTGAAACATGTCAACTTGACATGTCAGTGAAATGTAATGGGATATCATCAAATCCAATAAAATCAAAGCTTTCCTTTCAACTTATTCGAAGAAACTTGAGCATCGTCGTAATTACCATGCAAAGCCAGTTCACTCTTGTTCAAGTTAGCCCTCGAAGGCCAAGTTCTTCTTTCGTTAATAGGAACCCAACGACGACTTTTTCGTCCTCCAATGCAGCCTTGGAGTGGTTGATAATATGGAGATTCAATATCGTGACCTTTACCACATATTGGAGGAGATGAATCTGGCTTCCTAGATATAAAAGCAGCAAAAGACAAAATTAAGACTGCAATGTTTTCGTATTGACAAATAATCAAGCAAGACATAAAGTTACATGCATTCTGCCTCGGATGTCCTACCGTGAGCTGTAACAGTTACTTTTACTAGTTTTCTTCCAGATGACAGTTTCATCTTGTTGAAAAAGCATCTCCCAGCACAGATATTCTACGAAATCCTGAATGAAATTCCATCTTTTCTGGTTCTCTTTTTTGTGAAGAATTCCCTGAGTGTTGGTAAGTGGCGACGTCCACACGAAATACCCACCGGGCCTCAAAACTCTATCAACTTCGATCAAGTATCTACCATCTGTTTGAAAAAGGAAAAAGATTTAAAAGTTTCCTTGTCAGAATATACACAAAGATGGGACATAATTGACCACAGAGTGCCACACGATATATAGAATCTATGATGTTCTCAAAAACCGAGTTTGTTCTCATTGATAAAATAGATTAACATCAAAGAGTAGCACCCATCAATATAATGGAACGAGGCTTTAAGTTTACCTTTACTATCCCAGTCAACACCGCATCGTGCACAATGAACCATATCATAGGAAAGGGATGGATATGGCAACTGTTTTGAAGTAAAAGAACCAAGCATTGCAGGGAGGCCCCTTTCAAGAGTCAGTTGAACTTGACTGCCAGAAGCCTCATAATTTGCTATGCACATAGTCAAGAGATGTTTGGAGAAAAGATGTGCTCCAAAGCTCCCATAACCACACCCTATATCTAGAAGGGTTCTTACCTGCAAAATTTTAGGAAGGTGCAACTTGTTGTTAGGTATTCAAACTGGCGTTATATGTTAACATAAATATGTTCCTCAGCGAGTAGTTTTCCTTGACTCGCTATCTAGCATCATTCGAGTAGACAGATTAAAACAAAAGAAAATGCTAAAAATTTAGGACTTTGAAATAAGAATATCCTTGTAAGAGTATTATGGAGTTGAAGCTAGAAGTGAAGCAATTTGGATGATCTTTCCCAAACGAAATAAGAAGTCGCATGTAACAGCCCAAGCCCACCGCTAGCAGATATTGTTGTCTTTGGGTTTTCCCTTCGGGTCTTCCCCTCAAGGTTTTTAAAACGCATCTGCTAGGGAGAGGTTTCCACACCCTTATAAAGAATGCTTTGTTCTCTTCTACAACCGATGTAAGATCTCACAATCTACCCCATGCGGGGCCCAGCGTCTTCACTGGCACTTGTTCCCCTCTTCAATTGATGTGGGATCTCACAATCCACCCCTCTTTTAGATCCAGCGTCCTCGCTGGCAGCAATAGGATCTCACATCACGAAATAAGAAGTCGCATGTAACAGCCCAAACCCACCGCTAGCAGATATTGTTGTCTTTGGGTTTTCCCTTCGAGTCTTCCCCTCAAGGTTTTTAAAACGCATCTGCTAGGGAGAGGTTTCCACACTCTTATAAAGAATGCTTTGTTCTCTTCTACAACCGATGTAAGATCTCACAATCTACCCTATGCGGGGCCCAGCGTCTACACTGACACTTGTTCCCCTCTTCAATTGATGTGGGATCTCACAATCCACCCCTCTTTGAGATCCAGCGTCCTCGCTAGCAGCAATAGGATCTCGCATCACATCTACAACCATGAAGGATCCATTGAATTTGGTTTCCTTTAAAATGACAGGATGTGCATGACCATGATGGAGCGGTATGTGCATGACCGTTTGTATCTTAGCGAGGAAGTATAGAAGACCAATCTACCCCCTGCGGGGCCCATCATCTACACTGGCACTTGTTCCCCGCTCCAATTGATGTGGGATCTCACAATCCACCCCTCTTTGAGATCCAGCGTCCTCGCTGGACGCATTGGGATCTCACATCACATCTACCACCATGAAGGATCAATTGAATTTGGTTTCCTTCAAAATTACAGGATGTGCATGACCATGATGGAGCGGTATGTGCATGACCATTTGTGTCTTAGCGAGGAAGTATAGAAGACCACAACTGATGACCTGGCTTAAACAGAGCAGTGACATACATACCCCAATTTCTCTGAAATTTGATTCATTTCTCAGCCCAATCATTTCTGCAATCTGGTGAGAATAATCTTCAACACCATCAAACATTGGAGAGGCAGAACGAAAAGATATCTGTTCTTCCTCTAGCATCATCATCCTGTAAATTCAGGAGAACAATTAGTCAAAGAAAGATAATGTGAGCTCAATCTATTGGGGTTTTTTTTTTTCTCAAATGAATTTCTAGGCAAACCTTTTGGTCAAGCTTCCTGAAGAAAGGACCTCCTGTGCTGTGATTTTCACATTTGCTACCCAGATAACATCCCTTCCGGTGGGCCATCTAAGAGGAATCTTGTAATTCAAGGGAGGTTGAACCAAACAATTTTGCCACGAGCTAGGCTCACAATGTCTATCATACTCATCATCTTTTGTATCGCTCGAATTGAAGCAGGGAACATAATTCTCAAACTCCGGCGAACAGAATTCAAGCTCTTTCAACCTTGAAGGACCAAGAGAAATCTCCCCTATATCCCAAAGGTCTGAAACAAGCTGCTCTTGGAGTCGCCGATAACCATGGAATATTTGAACTTGGGAAGAACCAGAAATGGAGAGCGTCCACCAAAAAGAACCAGTAAGAGCAAGAATTATAATCAATACTAAACTCAATCTCAACATTTGCAGTATATATTGCTGCCGACTTCGTGAGTTCCCAACTAAAAAAGAATCAGAAGCAAAGCCATTCTCAGTGCCTCCATATTTGGAAGGGGAAATGTCTGGAAGAAATAGACGAAAGGGACTCCCATTTCCTCCATGATCTGAAGAACCTCTTCTATCCACTTCTTCCTTATCAGTTTTATCTTTCATTTGGGAGTCCCATTTATCATCATCATGACCATGTACCTTCACACCGGATGAACCTCGATGCAAAGGCCTGGACATTGTCTGCCGTGGTAATGCAAAATCAACTGGAACACATAAAATTCATAGAAGCAAATCAATAAAAGTTCCAATTCAAATACGAATACAGAAATTTGCAGCGTAAATTACTTTTCCACCTCGATTTAGTTCCAAACATTAAAGCAAAGAGACCGATTAATTGACACGAAGATCCAGATTTCATCTTTGGAAAGCAACGCACACTCGCCAGCATCCAAAAAAACATAATTAAAAGAACGAATTCATCTTTTAAGATCCGCATCTTCAATTCAAAACATCAGATAAAGAAAAAAAGTAGTAACACCAATCGATAACGATTCAAGATCAACAAAAACGAGCTACAAAGGAAAATCCAAGCATCCTCCAATCAAAGAGACCAAACAGCACATCAAAGCAATTCAATCAAGAAGATTAAGTAGTGAACAATGAGTCCATAACATAAATTCTTCACGACAAAACATCATTATCCTTCAAACAACACAAGAACCAATCCCAGCTACTTCATCCAGAGTAGAAATTAAACCCAAACCAGCATGAAAAACAGTAAGAAGAATCCAAAAGACAGTACCTCAACTAAAGAGCGAAGTGAACAAGATGAATAGAAGAATAAAAACAGGAAGAACACAAACAAGGCTGAATTGAATATAGAATGAAGAAGAACCGACACCCTAGGCTGCCATTGTCGTCTTGTTTAAGCTCGCAAAACGGATTTTCAATTCTCTCTCAAACACTACTCCATTACTGGATGTGGAAGCGCTCGGATTAAAAGCAGAAGAGAGGAGTGGACTGTGTGTGGAGAGCGGGAGGAGAAGAAAATGGAGATTTCGTACAGATCCAATCACGACAAGCTTGAAAGCTCCCGTGAAGACTAAAAATGATTCCCAATTCCCACTCTCTTATATTCTTTTCTAGTAATTAAAAATACTCCATGCAGTATTAATTATTTTAATTATTTTAATCACCTTCCTTAATTCGTCATTATATTAAGTAATTCTCACTCAAATTAATTTACCAATTTAATACCTTTTTCTTTTAGCTACAACTTTTAAATCCCCAATTTCTGTGTGTATTTTAGTTATTTAATAACTACTCGTTTTATTAATTACACCACTTCAACTAATTAATTTTATAAAAATATTTTAATTATAAACTCTTGTTATTCGAATTAAAAATAATAATGAAAAGAGGCAATTATTAATTTGTTTATAATTTTAATATATTAAAATAAAACGCCAATAACAAAAAATGGGTTTCCGGTCAGCCCGAGATCCAAAAACTTTGACCCGTCTCCCGGAGTTGGTGGGGAAAAAAAACCGACAAATCAATCTTTTTTTTTTTTAACTAATTATAAAGTTTATAATGTCAATTATTTATTTATCAATAAATAGTAAAATAAAGTAATGGGGTTTTTTAATTAAAAGTGAACGAAAAAGGTTATTAATATATTTTAAAAAAAAAATAATTGTATAAAATTAGTATAAAAAATAGACTACTTTATTTCAGAGTATTATAATTGGAAATTAATTTTAAAATAGCAAAGGAGATCTAGCATCAATTTTTTACATTACCGAGGCGGCTATTAATGGCAAACATTGAATATAGTTAACGTTGCCTAATCTCCCTACCCCGTTTAATTTCTTTTTTTATTTATTTATTTAAATCAGTGTTAAATTAAAAGTTATTCCATAAACTAAGCTTAATTTTTTTTACTTTCAAAATTATAAATCTAAATTGGTTAATTAAAATTTTAATTTATCATGTGGTAATTTTAAAATATGAGAAATAAAATAGATATAAATTTTAAAAATTTAATAACTTGGAATCTCTTCACTCGTCTTTGACTCTTGAATTTAGGTTAATTAATTAATTAATTTGATAATTATTTATTTTAATTTATTTTATTTTATTTTTCCCTTTTTATTAAATGGTTCTTTATTTTATTTTTTATTTTTTTTTTATTGAGAGTTGAAATAATGGGAGTTTGTGTGTGAAAATAGAAGGAAGGGGGACCCAGTAGAGCCGCGTATGAGGTGTCGGTGGGGTGACGTGGCAAAGCCGGATAATAGGGTCCCGGTGCTGGGTGTGCACCGACGTGGAAGGAGTTTTCTTTTTCTATTTTTTTATTCTTGTTTGTTCGAAATTATGAATGAGAGTGAGGTGGCAGTTTGTGGTTTGGTGGATGAAACGCGGGATCCGATTCTGCTTTAAATAATGCCTCCTAAAATTTATTTATTTATTCTTACGGAATATATAAATTCCAAATTTATATTTTCTATAAAAAATAAATAATAAAATTGACCTTTGACTAAATATAATTATTCATAATTTTGTTGTCCACATTTTTTAGCACACACCATTATTGCCTAAAACCACTTTTAATATGCTTAATCATTAATTAACTATTATTATTACTTTTAAAATGGAATTATTTAAAATGGAATTATTTAATTAGTCTAAATCTCATCAAAGCTGGACTATTGTTTTCTCCTACACAATTGTTTTTAAAATTTGTTTTTTTTTTATTATTATTATTTATTTATTGAATTTTTGTAGGTACAAACAATATTCTAATCATGGTTATGGTCTATATTTATGGGCATTATTATATCCTTCCAAAATTTTTAAAATTTGTATTTTAGTTTATGATTTTTAAAAATATCATTTTAATTTTTATATTTATTTTAATTTTAATAATTTTAAGTAGGATTGCACGTTGTTAAATAAATAAATAATTTTTAAAGCTTATCCATAATTACAAAATTCGAAATTAAAATAAAATTGACATCCATACATGTTAAAAATTAACTCAAATTACTAGTTTAGCCTTTAAACTTTTAAATTTATGTTTTATTTAAAAAATTAATTTTGATAATATATATATTTTTTTTAATTTGTCAACTACTGAACATAAATATATTTTTATTGAAAGTTTAAGGATTATTAATTTTAAGCATAGGAAAATGTTTAAATAATTGAACCACGTGGAATGTTGATTTCTGATTTGACCTTACAGCATTGTTTCCTTTGTTCCTTTTGTTAAACTCCATGCGCTAGATCAAGCGACGTCGTATTAGTCAACAAAATAAGTGGATTTAATTTTTTATTTTTTTTTAATTTTTCCGACATGTATCATGAGGAAACACATACGGTGTCGTTTACAGAGTTAATGCCGCCTATAATTGGCCAAAGCAGCCGTCGTGGTCGGCTGTCCGCATGAATTTAACTTTTGAAATTGATAGGTAAAAGCATAAATATAGGTTTTTATTTTAATTTGAAAAATATTCTGAAATAAATTTTCTAAATCATTATTTTATTTTGATTAAACCCAAAATTACTATCTATAAAATGTATTAAAAAAATTTATAGTTTTTTCTACCCAATTATTTACTCTAAAATTAAAGATATTAAGAATTATTAGATATATTTGTAATATTAATTACATTTAAATTAATTTTTTTGTGGGGGAAAAAAGGGATAAGGATAATAATGAGAGGCAAAAAGTGGGTTTATTGAATAGTATACTTAAAAATAAAATTAATTAATTAATTAATTTAAATATGTACCAAAATGCCCATGTGTTGTGTTGCTTCAATTAAATTATTTTCCTCAACCTCCCAATAATTTTGTTTGTTTGTCTATCAATTACATAAAATAATTAAAAATACCAATTTTGTGGGATTTTTATTTGTTAATTGTCAACAATTATAAATATATTGGGTTTTATATTATAAATATAATATAAAACCCAATATATTTCGGTTATTAAAAATAATAATTAAAAAAGCACAGCAAATTGAATTATAGCTAGATTGATTGTGACAATATATGACATTTTTAGTTAGTGCATTGTGGTAGTTCAAAAGTAAAAGCAATATATATATATATTATTATTATTATTATTATATAATAATAAAAGGGGTAAAATTGTATCAGTTCTATAATTCAAGTTGAGGGCTTTTTTACGGTATCTGCCATGATAATTTAGAAGTTATAGTAATAATTTTGTGATTGATCAAATGAAAAATTTAAAGATATGATTGTTTTATTCAGTGATTCAATGAAAAAGTCAAATTTTTTATTCAGTTTGACTTCGAAAAAAAACACTCACAACTACCATTATATTGGAGAGACCACCACGCGATACAAGACAAGACAAGGTAGCTGCAAAGTTACAAACAACACTCACTTTCAAATGTTGTAGTGTTTATAATGGCCAATTATAGCCTTTGCCCTTTGTGCCTATAGAACCCCACAAACAAGCCATCCCATTTGGATGGGATGGAATTTTGTACATAAAAGGCGTATTTTCAAGAGATAACAGTACAAATAGATTAGATTATCGGATAAAATTAAGCAGTCGTCGACTATTTCAACGCGCCTTTGATCTATTTTGATTAAGACCGAAATCTATAAAAGACAGAAGTAATTTAAACCGTCAAACAAATGAAAAAAAAAAATTAGGATGGAGTTGTGAAATTACAGAAAAAAACGTTAGCAAATGAGACCTAAACATGTTAAGCTATAAACGAGAGTATTCATTTTTTTCTCGATAATTTAGGGTTTGATTTGGTTCGGTTTGGTTTGGTTTAATTCGGTTTATTTTTTTCTAAATAAATGAGCTGAAAGAAACATGGAAGTACACTACAAAATGAGAAATTAAGGCGTAAATGAGGGGTTGGAAATGTCCCACATCGCCGCATTTATTGACAAACTTACGAGAGAGCCTTCAGAATTGACTATAAAAATCATTCAATGCTTCAACCTACCACATTTATGAAATCACTTCACCGTAAACCAATAATCTTTTTTACCTTTTTACTTCGAAGATCAAATGGGGTAAAAACAATATTGTTTTAAATCCGACCTTCTTCTGAAATTACTGCTTTGGATGTCGGCGGTGAATATTAACTGTGTCTGAGCCCAAAGCTAAGCCCACGGATTTAATGAAAGGCCCAATGGATCGGTCCATATTGGGTTCGTGACTACTCTAGTTGTAAATGAATCTACTCCGGAAATTGTTTGGGCTATCGAATGGGCCCGATCTCAAAACATATGGATCTTATTGGGCCCTAATGGGCCGGTTCTTTTTTTTTTTTTTTTTTTTTTTTGAGGTTAGACCGTAAAATGGACTACCGCTAGCAAACTCTTATTGGGCCCTAATGTCCATCTTTTAAGTTCAACCAAACTCGATATGTAACTGCTCATGACTATCGCTAACAAATATTGATCGTTTTTGCCCGTTACATATCGTACTTGATTCTCGCGGTTTAAAAACGTGTATACTAGAGAGAGGTTTCTACACCCTTAAAAGGAATGCTCTCCAACCATTGTGGGATCTAACAATCCACCTCCATTGGGTCTTAGCATCCTCGCTGACACACTACCCTATGTCTGACTCATATACCATTTGTAACAGTTCAAACTCATCATTAGTAGATATTGTCCACTTTGGCTCGTTATGTATCATCTACTAGGAAGAGGTCTCCATACACTTATAAAAAATGTTTTATAACCGACGTGGGATAGCAGTTATGGAAGAAATATATTTAACAAATCACTTTA